AGGCCGTAGGGCCGTAGAGCTGCCGTCGCAGCTTCTGTTCCGAGGTGTTCATGATGCCTGACGGAAAGCTTGGCCTCATCGACTACGGAGCATGCTCCAGGCTGGCAACATGAATGCCAGCCCCCTGCAACGAGTCGGATTGTCATTGTGATGGAGGTTAAGCAAGGAACAACGCACCAACATCGCGAAGATGCTTGTGGCTGGGGCCGTACTGGTCTGCTCAGACCCTGCTTAGAATCTGCTTGTCTCGTGCTGTTTTGACTTGACTTGTCGATCCCTAAGGCGATTGCCGACCAAGACGACGATGCAGTGCGCCTGCTACGACCCACAGAACCTAGTCCCTGCCGAAGCATGTCTGAGGCATGTCACAACAAGTTCTTCGCAATGTTAGGCCCAAGACTTATCACACCGTTTCTTTCTCTCAGCTGCCATGGGCAATTCCTGCTGCGCTTGTGTGGACCGCAGAGATCACCAGATAGCACAGTGAGAGCAATCTCGTCTCGCTGTTTGCACAAGTGATGATACTACTAGCCCCAATGTGCCTGAAGGACCCAGCCGCCAGGGCTGATGGGGCGCCGTGCCAGCATTGCAAGAACTTCTCTGATGGTGAAAGCAATGATTTGTTGTGAGTTCCGACATTCAACCTGCACTTGTGCTAAGCCCGAGCTTTTTGCTAAGAGTTTGAGATCTTCGGGAGCGGGACATTTCTAAGGGAGGCCCGCTTGGCCTGGCTGAAGACTGGCCCCTGAGTTGCAGAGATGCCTCTCTGTGACCCCGGTGGTTGGACTTGGTTTGCTTAGCGTGAGTCGAGATTACAGGAGGCCTTCTGCCTTCCAAGGCCTGGAAAAACTTTGAGCCTCACCTTCCGCACCGAAGAGCCTGACCGTGCATTAGTGCATTGTCGCAAGCGTCCCGGAAATTCTTCGCGAAACATGGACAATGCACGCCAGTGACATGTCTTGGATGCACGAAACAACGCACCTTGGAAGCGTGGGCATGTTACATCTTTGGCTGCATCTTGTGCGGTGGCATCTTAAAGCTGCACACTTGTGGTTGTAAACGTGCAGGGTCCATGCAACAAGGTCTGAATGGGTAGTCCAGACATGCCCAGAATCAACGCTGAGGAGAACAAGGAGGTCACCGTGGTCTTCCCCAAAGCACCTCTGGGGTTCCGCCTGGCCTACAAGCAGTCCCCTCTCAAGGCACACTGCGATCAGTTTTGTAGGGGTTCGGGCTTGCTGCCAGCCATTCTTGTGAGAGCGGATCGTCACGGAGCCAAAGGCTGGCACTCTGCCCGAGAATCGAATCGAATGAATGGCAAAGGTTGCGAACATCAACGAGAAGGGTGCTGTTATGGAGTTCGGCCTGAATGTCCAGCCTGGTTGGGTGTTGGCTGCTGCCCGGCTTTTCATGTGAACTGTTCTGTTTTTGCTTCGGGGCACGGAGAAAACGCATAAGGCCAGATTCTGTATGGGATTGGGAGGTGTTTCCGGGCTGGCCCCATGTTTGTTTGCTTAATCTTGTCTGCAACGCTCAATAGCCACGGTTTATGTCTCTCATGTGTGCAAGAGTCGGTCGGACGGTCCGTCAGTCGGTCGGCGCGTCCGAGCAAGATCTGCTATGGCAAGAACACGTGCTTCCGTCCATCGGTCTTTCTGGCTACCATGGTTCAGCTAGCCACGTGGGTCGGCTAGTCTCCTCACCAAAGCCTCTATCAGGGTGTACATTGAAGGTAGTTCCACTTCTTTTTTCCATGAATCTATCAGACGTTCGGACCCTGCTTGTGGAAGCCTGGCTGCGAAGGTGTCGCGGAAAGTGATACAGTTGTTGTCATCGCCAAAGTTGTTGGCATGACGCTTGCCCTTCTTTTCTTCTTATGATGGTTCGTGCTGCTGTCTAGTGTTGTTGTTTTCTTACAGATGTCTCGCAAATGGCCTGGCCTTGGCTTCGCACAGGGTCCCAAACGCGATGGGGGCAAAACAGCGGGATCAGTCACATGGAAAAAGACGACTCCCTGCCTGTGTCCAAAACGATCACCCAAGTTTAGGCAGGAGAGTTTGGAGCAGCAGCAGACAAAACCACGCCATTTCCTGCCTTTTCTGTTCCGAGGCAGTGAATGGGACTTCTGTGATGAGTTGTCATCACAAAGTGGGAGCTCAGATTGTTAAGGATGCAATCAAGGACCTAAAAACTGGCACAAGATGTCTCTTGCTGCCTCCTGCTCGCTGCATCACACGCATCGTGGCCTGACAATTTTGCCAGGATACTTTCGGCGAGCAAAAGCCCGGGTCGGAAGACAGCTAGCCACCTTTTAGCCACCAGCCTGAGGAGCATGCAACATCTTGCAACGGCAAGACAGGAACTGATGGAGTTTGGCGCGATGCATGTAAGGTTTACCTTGCATTCCGCGTTTGCTGTGTGATCGGCGTCCATTAGTTCCTGGTATCGTTTGGTGCTACGTTACGTGGCTGCAGCTGCACAGGAAACGCTGCACGACATGCTGCGATGCCGCGCCTGAGCTATTCCAGCATCAGCGGCCTATAGTGTGAACTACGCTCCCTACAAGCGGGGGTGCTTTTAAAGCCGCTGGGGTCGACAGGCGACACTGAGCTCGCGTGACGCACATGTTTGCTAGTAATTAAGACCCAGGTCAAGAGACAGGGAAGGAGGGAGGGGGGATAGATTGAGAAAGAGAGAGCGTGACATCCTTGCTTGGTCTTGGCTGGATGTCCGATTCTGAGCTCATATCTTAAACCAGATCCGGCTGGTGCTGATGCCACCACGTCTGTGTTTCGCTGTGTGTACAGAGACCGAAGCAGACGAAGCTGGTTGGAACTCAAACGCGTTCTGACCATTTTGGTTGCAGTAAGAAGGATTAGAAGGGTGCTCAAATTTGATGTCTTGGATGCCCGTGTTTTCATGCAATGGGAAGTGGCACAGAGACTGCAGGTTGCGAAGCATCTGACAGGCTTCCCCAAATGTTTGGACATCATGGGCTTTGAGCCAACCATGAACCGACATGTGATGTCCCGCTTCTCAACTCAACCCATCGACTTAAATAGAGCAAAAGGAACAGTGGCTGACTGCTCGGCGTGCAATACCATGATGTGGGCAACGGACCCATGCAGGGACCCTCATGACCACCCATGCAGGCTTTAGCCAGCATGCCTTGTGTCACTTCACCATCACCTCCACCCGATCCGATGGAGGTACCGCCGGCCTTCTGGGCTTGTGGCTTCCGCAGTCGGAACCAGGCACCCATTCGACATGCTTAAACATTCTAGTATTGGAAGCTTGGGACCACAAGAAGGCACCCGTATACATGAGACCCTGCAATCAGACCTGTGTTTGCTGGCCTGCTCTCCTCGTATCGTCCTCCCTGTCCTGTCAATGGTTCTCGTTTATTTTGGAAGCCTGGTGTAACAGAGCACTGAACATTAGACCGATCATGGACAGGACCCGAGGCTGGCACTGCTCCTGGCCCATGTCTTCTTCAACCGAGGGCCATACCCCTATGACATGAAGCTTGGCAGACTTTGGGGTGTGTTTAGTGCAGCCAAACTTTACACATGCCTGCAATCAGTAGCATGGCTTTCACGCCTTCAGAAATGCAGATTTGCCTTCTCCCACGTGATGCGAGGGCTTGAGGAATTGTGATTCATGGGTTTTTATAGGGCCCCTCTCTAACACGAGGCATTCGGGGAGGGGAGTTGAAGCCTCCAAGGAACCGCTTGGCTCCGAAAGTGGGAATGCCAGTTGGTAGCTGAGCTTGACAGATCGAAGGGGCTGAATATGAGCCCCACTCTACTGAGATGGACGTGGACATCATGACGTTGGACTCGTACCTCAGGCCAGTGTACACTGAACGTATGCAAGAATAGCAAGGGCTCCTTGATGCGCCTAGTGACGCTGCTTAACGCCAGCATGCGCCAGGGGTGGACAAATCGATGACATCGAGGCCGTGACTTCTCTTCAGTCAGCACATGAGCACAAGACTGGAGCCCCCTCAAGCTTCATCAGAGTGCACCGGTATTGGGTTTCGACGGCTGTGTGCAGTACGGGTGGACCAGATATGATGCAATGACATGCTGATATGCTTTTTGTAAGCACGCTGGCCTTTTGCCCCAGTAGTCCCATTCAGCCGCCTCCCCCTGTTTCCCTAACCGGCCTACACTCTTCGGCTCTGCTTTTTGCTCATGGTCTCGGCGCGGCGCGCACCCGTTTTTTTCTTGCTTGCGTTCACTGCCCTGAGCAGGAGTTTCCGGGGCATCTTGTGATGCTGCAGAGATGCGTTGCGTCCTCATTCTTCATATAGCCGCCGGGCATTGGCACTTACACCGGTGAGCTGGGTCTGCTTTGCGGGCAGGGGGGGTGCGCTTGCTGTTGGCATACATGACAATGTGGTCACTTAGGCTATGGTCCTGTGCGACACCCAGGCTTTTGCAGCTTTCTTTCTGAACGGGTTGATCAGTCCCTGTGGAGGTCGAGTCGAAGTATGATTGGAGTCATAAAGGGTCGTGCCGCACAGCCGACAACAAAAGAGGACTGTAGTGCAAGTCAAACCAAGCACATGGTCACCTTTGATTCTCCGTCAGAATCCATAGCGATTTTAACGCACTTGTCCGCAGAACACGACAGTTTTGAAGACCGATCCGTGCGTCCCAGGTCTGGGCTGGCGATGGAGCTGGGTGCCGGCCGTCTTTCCTCAGCAGAGATGTTGAAACCACAGGCCAGGAGAATCCGCGATTGTCCCAAATCACCCTCCCATGAATCAATTGCCAGCGTTGTTTTTTTCATCCCCCTCCTAAGACTTAATTTACCCAATTTGCTGCATTGACTGGCTTGGCAGGCGCTGGCCTGGCTAGAACAAGACAGTGCAGACGCTGGGGCCGGCGCAATGCTAAAAAGGAGTACTGCGGGCACTTCTTGAGATGCGGAGGGTCGCACACTGTGCGGATCGTAATGAGCACCGACAGTAATGCTGTGCATTTGCGTGAAAGGCTGAAGCCCTACCTGGACCGAGCAGTCCACGTGCCGCATCTAGCACCGCTGACGAATTGTCATTGTCCACATTCCACAGGCATTGTGTCATCGTGCTCTGCTGCTCAGTTTATCAGAGGGTGCGCTCTAAACTCAGCTTGCCAGGAGAAATTGGAGGGCGGTGTCAGCATCTTGGAAGATTCATTCTTGGAAGAAGCCTAACACCTTGATCAGCAAAGGTCCTAAGTACCAGTGCGAACTGGCTGCTGCTTGAAGAGACATTCCGCAAGGCCATTTGCTGGCCATGGCACAGGGCTTTGTGATCCAGGGAGCACATTGTAGCACATTGTAGCACATCGTAGCACATTGATGCACATTGTTGAACCGCCATGTTGCACCACAGCCCATGGAAAGCTCAAGCTTGCAGAGCCAGCAGAGCCCATGGCTTAGCTCCATGACATGGCGTATTCTGGGACTGAGTTCAGGGACCTAAAAAGGCCCAAGGTTCAGCCTTCTGCTGCTGTCAAGACCACACTGTTCATCTTCTTCGTGTTCATTCGCGCCATCCACCCCACAGCCTCTTGGCATGTCTGAGTGCTACGGGAAGTTTCAGCGGTATGCGGAGATGAGGGCCAGTTCTGAGAAGGGAAGGAAGTGAAATGGATTGAAGGAATGAATTGACAAGTCGGGGATAGCTCGGAGATCTCTGAGGTGATTGATGCCTCCAAAAGCATTGGGGCAGATGGGACCAAATTCTTCGCTTATGGCCCGCAGACAGCAAACTTGGCCGAGGCCCTGCGCAATAAACTGCCACAAGCTGCCAATGAACCCCCCCGCACCGCCCTTCGGAAGCATCCCACACTGATTGGGGACATTTTGGAGGAAGGTCGAGCCGCCCGCGCGCGAGCGTTGAACTCTCGTCTTCTTTGGTGTTCATCTGTGTAAATTCTTTAGCTCTTCCCCACATCTTCACAGTTCCACGTGCTTGGTCATGTCACGAGGTATTCTTTCGCCCGATGCTCACTCTAGGCATAGGTTGTGTTGGCCGGGAGGAGAAGTTCGATTCGTTCTGCGCTGGTTCTTGCCATAGGTCCCTGCTGCGCAGGTGGCCATGTCAATGCTGGTCGCTCAGGCCTTGGCACTGTGGCGTGGGGAGTGCCTCGGCTTCTTTGTGTGCGGGTGGGTTATTCCGTTATTCCGATTCACCAAGTTTGGCTGTGTAGAGTTTGATATGTGTTACATGCCATGAAGCGTGGCGCAGGGGGCCTGTCGAGTGGAAAGCTCAAGACGTAGTGACGTAGTGGAAGCTAAGCGCAACCCGGATGCTTTGACATCTCCCAGCGACACCTGCAGGACATTGCAGGACCGAAGTGGCAGATGGTGATTTGAGGGGCGCACTCTCGCTTGCTTAGACTATCTGCATATTCTTGTCACGGCGAGGTGGAGAACAATTTGGAATCCAGCTCCGCTGCATCTTGGCACTACATTTGGACCTGATCGCAACCTCCGACCCAGTTTGACGTGTACAATATGATGGCCTAGTGCCCTGCCCATTTGTGAACCCTCCGAGGAAGATCTTCACCATGATTGGCTTCCTTTTCGGGCTCGGGGACTACCTCGAGATGCGCAGCATGGCGTCGCTCGGGGGTGGTTCTTATCAGATTCTTCTACAGTCGAGGCTGCTGATCACTGCACTGATGTTGTGGCTAGTAAGTGGCAAAGGCCAAACGCCATTCCAGTGGAATCTGCTTTCGCTTGTTGTGTGCTCCATGTCTGTGTACATGTGTCTCGACATGCAGAGTGACACCGACGATGGTGATACAGACAAATTGTTGGGGACGGTCACCGTAGTGCTGAAGGTGACGGTGTCCTGCTTAGCCGCCGTTCTCACAGACCGTTATACCAAAGAGTTTGACGACCCTGTATACATTCAAGCCGTTCAGCTACGAATTTCCCGGACGCTCCTCCTTACTGTGCTGGTGTGCCTGGATGGAAAGACACTGCAGAACGGCTTTTTCCACGGATGGGACTCTTGCACTGTGGCGGTGGCTGTGACACATATGCTCAAGGCATGGAGCACGCTTTATCTCCTTGTGTACTTGGACTCTGTCCTGAAGAACATGGGCGAGAGTTTGGCTGTTCTGGGAACTTACCTCATGGAGGTTCTCCTGCCCGTGTTCCAAACCACCTTCGACATACGCACGCTTTTGGCAGTCATGGTTGTCATGCTGTCAGTTTACACTTATGTCAGTTCCAAGTCGGTGGTTACAAAATCGGTGCAGTTTGATGCGCTGCACTCTGCGTGAAAAGCAGCAGTGTAGGAAGTGTGGGTATTCAGACCACTACAATTATCTATGAAGCTGGAGGCCCTACCTGTGGCTGTACAAAGTCTTCGTGACGCCACTGCATGTGATGTGTGAGACAAAGAGTCGCCAAGAGGAGAGGTTTACCATGCTTGGCTAATTTATCTTGGCAGGTCCCAGGCCCGAGGCAGATGGACAACTTTAGGGCTAACTACCCGAAATTTCGAGCACGTGATGCCAGATCGTTTACAGGATGGCCTGGCTTATCTGGACGCGGCACTTCTCCCGAAGCCCCTGGCGGCCCTGGTCCAACATTTCCTCGAGGTGTGGCTTTCGGGGTTTGGATAAATTTAAACGGCTGCAGATGGCCTCGAAGGTTAGAAAAGGGGTCTGTAGCTTCTTCACATGTCGGATCTTGCCCCCAATGCCTTGCGATGCAACCATTTTGGCTCAAAAGGCCAGCGGCTAAGACGTACTCGAGACCTTGAGGAACCATCTTCGAGTTTTTTGTTGTGGAACAGGGATGGGAGGGTCCTTGCATGTGCACTATGGCAGTCCGTGCACTAAAGGAACTATAGTAAGCGCGTGTGCAGGGAAAGGATGCGGCTGCCCTTGAAAAAGCTACCATTGGTCGATAGTATGCCCGCTCTTCGCTCTGGAGACTGGGACCAGGGGCATGCGGCATGACCATGGAGACTGGATCGGGTGATCGAAGCTACTGTAGCATGCTTCGTTTGAACAGCGACATCCGCGCATGATGGTCGCACACCAGCACAAGCCGTGCTGATGATGGTGTCTGACTGACGGCATTTCGTTGCTGCTTTGGATGGTGTCTCGTAGTGATTCTCCACGATTCACTGTTTCCCGAAATGTCACGGTGTCCAAAGCTTTGATCGCACCGTCGACTGCATGCGCCTACGGGCGAGTCTTGGCGACAGGCACGAGCACAAAAATGGTCTACTACAGAATTTCGAGCTGAGCTGAAGAGGTCTTCTGCGTAATCAGGGGACGCAGTGTGTGCAGCTCCGAAGGCCACCGTCTGGTACAGCCCGCAGGCGGGCGGATCTTATCTCAAGGCAACCCTCTTTGATGGACTGCACGACATGACCTCGGCTTTCAGATTGGTTTGGAAATGCTCCCAAATGCAGGGATAGAATGCAGTGGTTTAAGGCCGAGCTGTTGCTTCAAATGGCTGCAGAGCTTCCTGCTTTGTTGCACGCCCCTCAGCAGCTGCGATAGAGTCGGTAGACCTTCTAGATCCATGATGCTATACAATTTCCATCCATAACCGGAGCCGCAAAGGCCAACGGCCTTGGGCCCACATCGGCAGTGCTCTCAGCTCCACCGGACACGTGGAAATAGAGATTGAACTAGCGCACGTGAGGGCTTCGAGTGCTGCTGCTTCACATGGCTATACCCAGGCTTAGCAACCTCTATGCCCACAAGTACGATACGGAGTGGCCAGGATATCCAGGCCTCGGAACACACAGCCTGCCAGGACCTCAAAAGCGAAAACACAGAAAGCGCGGTCGGAGAGTGGGTTTTCGCTCTCACACGGCGCCCCTCCGCAGTTCGCTTCGTGCCAATTCTCCAACTTAGGCCTTGCTCTGTGGCGGTCCTTGCCTCAGGCATTGTGTGAGCAAAGTTAGCGACGGCCATTTCCATTTTGGTTGCACCGCAAGCAGACCAGTTCTTGGCAGTCCGAAGACATCCGAAGCCCAGGTTGCCGTGTGGACGACTCCAGATGCCGCAAACCTCGACAAGAAAGGCAGGTATGCTTGGTGCGGGGGCAAGGGTCCTCCCGTAGCCTGTAGACAGTTTCGGGTGCATGGGTTTATGTGTGTGCTTCATGTGACTAATTGGCGACATTGCGACACTTGCGCTTTGTGTGTGTTTATTGTCTGCATGAGGGCCCAGAGTTCCGTGGTTTGCGGGCAAGAAACGCTTATGACTCATGGCGTTCTTACCGCGTTGTATCTGCACCAGCCAACATGCTTTCTTTCGCCCCTAATACTGAACATGCTTTCGCCGATGTTTTGTAGCAAATGGAGCTGAACTTTTCAAGAAGCATCCTCGCGCACCCCAGGTGGCGGGTTTGAGGTGTTCCACGCTTCTGCCGAAGAAGGCCTGTTACCAATTGGTTTGGGGTTTAGCTGACTATCTTGGCGTGAACCATGGTGCAGATTTTAGGGTTTTTACGGAAGATTGCAGAGGTGCACGGTCCACTGCTGCTTGTGAGTCAGCCTCTTGTAGAATCTAGGCACAGGCTCCGGCTTTACGACTTCTTATGCTGATAGCAGAACGAACATCGACAAGTGCCGTAACGGTAGGCGTGCCTGGAGTCAGAAGGCAAAGACCGGACAGAACCGGAGGGTTGAGCACTCGCCAAGTCCTGAGGCATGTCTGCTACCGAGCGCTATGCCTGGATGCCTCAGCTGGAGGACATGCGTCGAGATTTTCGAGCACCACTGGTATACGATTGAACAGAAATAGCGCCATTCAAGTTTCTTTTGGGTTTTGGGGCTCAGGGCTTTGGTTGAGGGCTTCGGCTTTGGCCTTTCGCCTTTACTTTGTGTATATCCCATCCTGTGCACGTGTGCGGTGTGTGAATGCCAAACGTTATGCCAGATACTCGTGGCCCTAGCAAAGGGCATTTCCGATAACATGAACAACGCCTCCAGGCCGAAAAGCCCGACGCCCAACCAGCTTGGTTTTGTACTAAACGGCGCCTGGGAAATTTTCGAATTCGATATTCTGATGCCCACCCAGACCAAGTCAATGTTTTAATTTCGGCACTTTGCAGGAAGATCTGCCAAAGCACAAGCTGATCCAACAGAAGCAGTTTGCATCGACGCGGATTGCCTACAAGTCGACCTGTCCTAAGCGCGCTTTGCCCTGGCACGCCCCGCTCAGCCCAGGTGCAGTGGCCGTGGCAGTAAGCCAGCAGCCAACCGTGGTCATCAGCGCATGCCACTTTCGAGATGTTGTAACGGTAACGCGTTCTCGCGCACGCACAGCAACAACCACAGCCGCGCAAACGCACGCACGCACACCCACACACCTGCGCACCTCCCCACCCCCAATCCGCCCACCCGCCATGACCCCCCACCCACCCTCCCACCCTCCCACCCTCCCACCCTCCCGCACCCTCCCGCACCCTCCCGCACACCCACACACACCACACACACCCACACACCCCCACCCACACATACAACCACGCACACACGCAGCACGAACGCACGCCCGCCCGTCAGCGCGCGCGCGTTCTTGCGAACAGATCAGGCTTGCCATGAGTGCGTGCGAAGTTGGACAGCATAAAGAACTGCCCTTGCGGGCCCAAATTTCGATGCCGTTCTAAAAGTGTCGTGTTTGTGTGTGCGCTGTTCCACTTGTGAGCCAACAACAATAAAGGCCAAGCGAGGACGCCCCGAGAGAACCTGAGCAGTCGAGGTGTCAGAGACACAATGTAGGGTAGATTCATTATCTTGGCGGAAGCAGCTTCCACCCAAGGAATCGCTTGGTTATGTGGCGCTGCGACCGGCTCTTTCGCACGGATTGGTCGCCGATGCAGTGGTCAGCCTCCTAATGTGGGAAGATTACGGTGTGTACAGGAAGTCTTCATTTCAGACGCCTCCCCGGAGTCTTGCAGGTGTCCTGCGTATGTGCCTACCATTGCCTACAGAGTCCAAGTCCAAGTATTCAAGTCTGCAGCCTGCTGCGGTCAGGCGTGGTGGGCTGAGGCATCGCCGCGCCGATCTGTGGCTGCTGTTCGGGAATCGGCCTTAACCATTGAAGGGAAGAGGAAGAATTACTGAACAAAACATTCATATACTCTACGTGGAGTACGACAGCGTTGCCTTAATTTTCTCGTAACAAGCTCAGCCTTTCAGCCGGTTCCTGCAATCGCCTCGAAAAAGAGGGCTGCTGCTCCACTGTTGCAACAGCGTGGTGCAAAAGCAGGGTCGAAGAGCAAATGTCTGGCAACGTGTCTTGAAATATGGTGCACTCCTTCCCCGTCCCTTCACGACCTCCGATATGTATGTGAAGAGCGGTGCAAGAATGATGAACGGTGAACGGCACGGCTCTTGTGCGTGGCTCTTGCAGCTTGAAGCTCAAAGGCGTCCAGCTTGTACCATGGGGCAAAGGCCAAGAGCCATCGACATCACCGTGCACCCAAAAAACAGCCAGACGACGCTCACCCTGACAGCTTAAGGCACCCGAGCGTCAACACTAGTAGTACCATTATGTACTATGTCGTTGAGATCAGTCCACAGCCCGTAGGAGGCAGAAGCAGCAACCTGCGAAGCCGGGAAAGCTTCAGCATACATGTTTTCATGAATTTTCGTGTGACTCACATTCCCACTTCTGTAGCCCTTGTCAGCGGCCATGGAGCACAATGGCAGAGGATTGCCTTGAGATTGGAGTTGGTGCCTGCATGACTTCGAACATGGAATGATGGTTCAACTCTTTGGGTCGTCTTTAGAGCGTGCTTCTGCTCTAGGACCGACAATCCGCAGAACCAGTTGAATCAATCAACCGATGCTAGCCAGCAAAGCCCATGAGTTTTCTTGGAGAGTGGGAGGTTGTCTTGAGAGTTTTGTCTCTTCTCTATGCACCAAGGCCTGCGATGGAGATACTTCCGCCAGACGCCCCTCGACCCAAAAAGCGTTCAAAAGCCGTGTGTTGCTGATTGCGTGAGCAAAACAGCGCTGGCAGTTTGCGATGCAAGACGTGAGTTGCTTTTTTCTAGGGGCAGTCGTAAGATCTCAGGAGTCTTGCAGCATTAGTGTAGCCGTGAAATGACGCAATGCTTGAAAGGTTGCTCCCATGGAGGTTTGCCTTGTGGAAGGCGCTTGCCTTTGCAGCCAGGATGCAAAGGCGCTGGTACAGTTGTCCTTCTGCTTTCAATACACTCCGGCCCAAGGTAAGGACCGTCATGATCGCGTATCTTCTGGTTCTGCTGGGCCAGCTGGCGCCCTCAGTTCAATACACGCGGCTTTCTGCGTGGAGGGATGCAGCAGCGAAGCATGATGCGGCACGTCAGCCTTGACTGCTGCAGCTCTAGAGGCTGGTGCTGTGCGCCATAGAGTACGAAGAGGAGCAGTCCTGCGTCTTGCAGAGTTGTATGGGGCTGTGAGTTGCTTGCTGTGGATGTGTATTCTTGCGCTTTTGGCACAGGGGCACATGCTGATGTCGCATGGTTGAGATGAATTCGTTGTTTGGCTTCTGACAACATCGCATCTTGGTACCAGCTCGAGGCAGTTTGGAGTTAGCCTGTTTCTTTGTGAAGGAACAGGAGCAGCTGGTGCACAAGCTTGCTCTTCAGCAAAAGCTGCGCAAAGAACTCTCACCAGAAGCTTTGCCTGCAATTGGCCAGTAGTGGCACAGCTTAACTCTGCCCTTTGTTCTTGTTGTCCTCCTTGTTTCGAATGCGCTTGGAGCATGACATTGCTTTGAAAACCCTTTGTTTCCAGCGCCCTTGACTACTTACTGTTGCGGTGTTTCCGTTTTTGCCGGCTTCTGCAAACAGCGTGCTTATATGGCCCGGGTGGTTGCTATCTAGTTATGGCAAGTGTTAAGCATTTGTTAGGCATTGTAAGTGGTTATCGTCGGGGTTAGCGAAGTAGTAGCTAAGCAGTTAACTAAGTGGTTAGCTAAGGGGTTGCTACGTGGTTATCGTAACTCAGGTAACTCAGCTAAGTCTCCAAACCGGTGACGAAAACTGAAGCATCTCTGAGACATATTTTCCAACATTGTCAGGCTCCCGTAACAGAAAAGAACTCGACATTCCACCCTAAAGAATGTGGTTTCATCACAATCTATGATAATCTTTCAAAATATTTGCACGTCTGCCATTTTGTGAAGAGCCTTGTTTTTACACCGGGGGCACAGTGGCAGCAGCGTGCAGGTATGGTTTCGAACCACACCTTCGTTCTTGCTAGCACGCCCGTCTTGCCCAAAGTGAGACAGCGTTGCGTGCTCTCTGTCAACCGGAGCCGAAAGGTAGGACGGCGGTGGCCTTGTCACCTTCTATATATAACACAGCATCGAATGCTCCGTGTCGACAGGAGCCGCTGCTTGTCGGCTTTGTCTGTCTATATGCCAAGCAGCGGAATGGAGTGAGACAGCGTTGCACGCTCCCTTTCAGCGGGAGCCAAAAGGTAGGAGGGTGGTGACCTTGTCACCTTCTACAGCCACTGTCAGACAGCACCGAATGCTCCGTGTGAACAGGAACCGTTGCTTGTCTGCTTCGTCTGTCTTATGCCAAGCAGCTGAATGCAAGGCGGGCTCGTGCCTCAACAAGCAGAAGATGTGTAGCAACGTGTAGTGCTCCCCATTGACGGAAACATGCAAAAGCACCTCACCAACATTTCTTGAGTCGGTCAAGACGATGTCCCCCACGCTGCAGGTTTGTCCACCCGCCAAGCGCACAGTGCGGCTTGTGTAATCCTCGTCATTGAGCCGGAAGCTGAAGCTGCTTTGCAAAGTCTGCTGCAGCTTTTTCGTGGGGTGGTGCGCAGCTAATAGCCTGACACCTGTGCCAAAGCCTCCAGGCTCCCTCAAAGTCGCCAAGTCATGTGCCAAAGCTTCCTGCAGCACAGACTTATTGAATTGCGACGTGTTTTTGGTGGGGGTGCTGTACCGCGTGACGAGCTTGTGCTTCCTTTCCAATGTCCAGCAGGATGGAAGAAAGGAGTACCGCTCCCACGCATCCGCCAAATGAAGGAGCCAGTGAAATTTCTTTATCATGCACTGGCTCCAGCCAGCAGCTGCACAAGCTCCCAGGGACTGGTCCACAGCGGCCCTCAAGGCTGCTGGTGTCGCCAGTGTCCTGGCTTCAGCTCCAAGAGCTCCCGACCCAGCGTGCAGAATGTCCAGCACAGAGCACATGTCCAAAAAGGCTTTGCACTGTGGACTGCACACGTTGCGTGCCAGTGGGCCAGCTCGCACGAATCTTGCGAGTATAGGGTACAGTGACAAAACTTCGGAGGCAGCTGCTTTAAATTTCTTTGCCTTCAAATCAGCTGTCATTCTCTTGTTGTCGAACAAGTCGGCCAAGTGGTTCATGCAGAAAGCTGCCGGAAGCTTCCATTTTTTGACGTAGTCGTGCCTGCTTTTCGAAAGGCAAATCGTGTTTTTAATTTGCAGTTAGCCCATGACGTTAAAAGAAGCCAAAGCCTTAACCCTGAAACTCTAAGCGGTCGCAGCCGAGAGACACGGTCTGCCACATGCTGGCACTGTGTCTAGTCAGTTCTCGCATGAGCAAGAAAATGCAGATGCTGGCCGTGCCATTGGCGCAAGTGCAGTGCATCCAGTCGTGGCAATACTGGCTACAAGGAGCCAATATATTGGCCGCTCGCAAGACAGGGTCGAGCAGCAACCCATGGGGCTCGTGCAGCAGGCCGCTTGCCTGCTCCCAGATTTTGAATTCTTTTCTGCTGACAGCATTAGCTCTTGCGTGCAGTCTGTCTGCAGCTTCCAAGAGCTCCCTGTCCGAGCAGAGCTTGAGGTCGGCGTGCTTCAGGAGCTTGCACACGCCGTTGTAGTCCCTGTCCTCCTCGTCGCTATCCTGCTCCTCCACTTCTTCGCAACGCCCGCAGAAAAAAGCGTTGGTGCAAAGAGAACAAAAGCGATTGCCGCTGTCGCCCTTCACGCCATATACTTGTTTCTGCGCTGCTCCGTCCTGGAGGAAGAGGCCAAAAGTGAAATGTAGCTTTCTCAGCTCCCCATTTGGGCTCTTGAAGGCTAGGCCAAGTCGCGGGTCCCAGGCACTGCAGAAAATGCTTCTGAGAAGCTCCCGCATGACCTGGCCTATGCCAGCTTCGAGAGTCGCCACTTCTTTGGTTCGGATTATGAATGCCACGAACCAAGCAGCCTCCTTAGAGAGGTGCTCCCGAAAGTCCAAAAAGGAGATATATCCCACCCAGGCTTTCCTTTCTAGACGATGAGAAAGCACATTGCCTGGAGTCACTTCGTCGGTGTAGAGGATCATCCTCCAAGGATGGCTTGGCGAGGTGGGTTGCCTCGCAAAGGTGGCATCGACTAGCTCCGTGAAGCTCCCCCCTTGCCTGTAGGCACCCTCGATCAAAGACAAGCAATTCACCATCAGCAGCTTCTTTGTGCTCCCCTCGCCTTTCACCACAAACTCCCTTTCCTGCAAAAGCGGGCCATAGTTCGCGTGGCGCTCCATTTCAGCTGCTGTCGCTTCTCTCATGTGCTTCCTCTGTCGCAGCTCCGGAGCACCATTCTTTTCTATTTCCTCCAACAAGCCAGCCAGCGCGCTTTGTGTCATGAAAGGCACTGTACGCCGGACATTGTCCAACCGACGTAATTTCTTCTCGCGGCTGTCGGCCATGTGAAAACTGTGGGTGTTGAAAGAAACTGCGAAACAAATGCATCTACAAAGTCTTTAGAGTTAGTTTGTTTTCAAGAAGTGTTCTGGGTTTGGGTCTAGAATAATGGTACTTTTAGGGTTCTGCAACGAAGTCTCTCTCTACACTCTTCCTTGTTTCTGTAAAGGTTTGCACATGCGCAAGCATTCCATGGACCCTCTGCGGAAATCAACTGTCGACAAGTGTCGCTCGCAAGAGGCCGCTACATGGAGCAGTCGGATTTTGTTTCTCGCCTGGCTTCCAGCTGAGATGAGGATTCAGCATGCGTCCAGCAACACATGCTTTGCAGCTTTCAACTGCATGTCTGTTTGACACCAGTCACGAACCCCAGTGGCGTAGACGCTTTCTGCGGAGGATCAAGGGTCAACAGTTTCGGGCTGTGCAACCTGCTACTGTAACTAAGCCATACTAAGCACCAGCCACTTTGCTAGAATCCCTTGTCGGTGCGGCGTGGCACGTTGGCCATGCTCAGTACCAGCTTCTGAGAGCTCCTGCTAGCTTCCTGCAGCTCCTCACTTCTTGCCGTACATTGCCAACCACTCCTCGCGTGTGCACCGTGTGCCAGTGAAGGTCCGGCTTCGGCACTGCGAACAGCCGTGCCGCATGCCCCTGCACTTCAAGCAGCCTAGTTTCAGCGGTTTTTTGGCCGCTCCCGTAGCCTTGGCCGTGGCTTTGGCATTGGCTTTGTTTTCAGCCGTTGCTTTTGCTTTGGCTGTGGCTTTGGCCTTGGCCTTGGCCTTAGCCTTGCCTTTGGCAAGGCCCTTCTTCGTCAAGCTAGCGAAAGCTCGCTCCTCCATCTCCTGCAAGCTTCCGGCGTCGGTTGAAGCAGCAGCGGCAGCGATCTGCTGCTGCTCCCCGGGCGTTGGGACGCCTGCAGGCAGGGTGTGCTGCAGCGTTGCCTGGGTCTGGGGCAGGGCGTGCTGCAGCGTTGCCTGGGTGTGGGGTGGTGGCAACGTGGTTTGGGGCAGGGCGTGCTGTAGCGTTGCCTGGGTCTGGGGCGGCAACGCGTCCTGCAAGCACTGATTGCCGACGTTGTCCATCCGGTGCTGGATCGGCGGCGCGGCCTGGGAAGCTCTGGGCGCCGCGTTGGTGGCAAGCTGCTTGGCCAAAACGGTCATTGTTTTGGCAAGCTCAGCCAAGTCTGCTCCAGCTGCAGGACCTGCGGGAGGCGAGCTGCTGGCAGCTGTCGGTGTTGTAACAGGCAGAACGGGCGTTTTGACAAGCAGCTTGCTGGTGCCTCGCATGGGGCAGTTCTGCACCACTCGCTCAAAGCTCGGAAGCTCCCTGGCTTCCGGCAACCCCGCCGGGTAGGCCTCTTTGAGGAAGTCCTGGCCAAGCTCCTGCGGCGTCGGCGGGTACACGAGGCACGTTTTTGGCGCCCCGACAGCTTTGCTGTGCAAGAAAGCTTGGTGCACGTCCTGTTGCAGCTGGTACAGCTCCGTCGGGGTCTTCAGCTTGCCTGTTTGTTTCCAGGCCGTGTAGGCCACCACGCAGGCAGCGTTCTGCTTTGTAGTCTCTGCCAGGGACACCAAGCCCAGAAGTCGCAGCCGCCGTGCCACACCGTGCACCACATCCCAGTAGGTGCCGGTTTCCAAAAGCTGCCATTCCTCACTCGTAAGGTAGTTCATGAAGTGCAGGAGCGTCTGTGGCCTGGTGTTCACCTTCAGAGCTGTCCGGGCTGCGGGCAGACTGTTCCCCTTGCTCACACAAGCGTCCACGACTTCCAGCAGAACCTGCTCCTCGCCCTGCAAGTAAGGTTGCGCAGCCGCAACCGCTTTGTACAGCTCCCCTGCGCTTAAGCCTTGGCTGAGGCGGACCTTCTGCGCGAGCCCGGCCAGCAGCTGCTTCGCTAAGTCTTTCGCAGGGCCGGCCCCTTGTGGTGAAGCCTGAGCGCGAAGTCTCAGCATTTCTGCTCCCTCACCTATCTCCTTCACCAAGTCGGCAGTGGTCCATGTGGCCATTAGAAGCAGAAAGGAAGACCAATTGCCGAAAGAAAACAGGAACTTGAGGAGCGCAAGAGCACTCAGAGTCAGCGAAGAAATTATTCATCCCTGGAACACGTGGACCTCTCACATAGTGCAGCACACGCGAGAACAAGCCACCTGCATTTGTTTTTTTTTGCTGCGCGCCATCGCTTAAATCCCAAAAGACTCCTGGGGAGCTCTCGTGCAACTGGCATTGCAGTTCAGCCACGAGTACAGGTCCGCGTTGTGCAGCCATGGCTTCCAGAAGTAGCTGTACATCACAGCGAAGTGAAAAGTTTCACGGGTGCTCGCGTCGAGCGAAGCTGTTGAGCTCCCAGCAGTTCCTGCTCCCTGCCTTCTCTGTCTGAAGTAGCCGCGCAGGCTGGCTTGGATCAAGGCCTTGGAGTTAGCATCGTGTGCTCCCACAGCATCGTGCGCTCCCACACTGCGACAGCTGCTTGCTCCCTGTCGCTGTCCCACACTGCGAAAGTACTTGTGCAGGGCATCTTTGGCCACAACTTTAGACTTCTTAGGACAGCGTGCTCCCCCTCTGCGCCGTCCTCTGCAAGGCACCCTTCCGCGGGCCATCCCGCTGCTGGCTCCTTTCATGCTTGAGCCCATCCCGCTGCTGGCTCCTTTCACGCTTGAGCCCACCTGCCAAGAAGAGTCAACAAGAAACCCACGCTATCCAAATTGCACACAACGACTCTAAGACATGGGCTCAACGAAATGCAAAAGCTGTTTTTTTCGACAAAAAACCAGTGGCATCCATTGTCAAAAGCCTTGTGGCTCCCGCGCAAGCATTCACACAGCCATTCTGGCCGTCAGCAATCAAGTATCACAAGGGATCACCCAGCCAGGCAATGTGCAAAAGACTGATGTGACGACTAGAACGTCCCAGGGCTGCTCGCAATCTTCGGCAGGTTTCCCGCCCTGCATTGTCCAGACCTTCTTGTGCCTCAACATCGTTCAGGAGTCGAAGAGCTTCGACCAAGTTGCCGCACAATGCTGCAAATTGCATGTGGCAACGACTTCTTGTTTCTTCTTCTTCTTCTTGCCTTTGCTGCGACGCAGCAGAGGTAGTCTCCAAGCCAGACGTGGCTCCCAGCTCACTCCTGTCCGCAGCACGTTCCGGCAAGCTCCCCTGAGCTCCCTGGCGATTTAGCCCCGGGGCTCCTCGTCTTTCCGGCGGCGTTCCACTTCGTTGTCGCGTGCCACGCAGCCGTCCATGGGCCCGCTGGGGCGTTCTGGATCGAGACATGTGCTTTGGGTGGGCGACGTTGCTCTGTGTTTTAACATTGCTTGTCGGGGGGGGGGGGGGGGGGGGGGGGGGGGTGACATGCATTTTTGTCTTGTCTGGAATACCCATGTGTCAGCGTCGAGTGAAAAGCCTACGTGTGCAGCTACAGATGCAACATACGTGTTTGGCTTTCACTAACAACTCTTTTCAAATTTCTTAACAGCTATATTCTTTATAATATGATGTGATACACTGTTTTAGCGACTGAAACACATCCCGAAAACACGCCTCAAGTAACAACAAATCCCAAACATTGTACCTTTAACTCTCAGCCTAAACCCCTAATCCGAAACCTTAAGCACCCTAAACCCTAAACCCTAAACCCCAAACCCCAAACCCTAAACCCTAAACCCCAAACCCTGATCCCTAAACCCTAAACTCTAAACCCTAAACCCTAACCATATGCAGTCGCATCCAATATACGCACCCGGGATTTCTGCAGGTCAGGCAGACAGTTCATTAGTTATGTTCGGGCTTCAGAATTTACATATGAAAATTGTGCAGTGGGGTTGGTGGTCCAGAAACTTCATTTGAGAATTCTCAACCGGTTTTGGGGATTGAGAATTTACATTTGAGGTTTCTGGATAGGGTTTGGGGAGGTGAGATTTTTCAAACGTAAATTCTGGTCAGGTTTTCTGGTGTTGCGAATTTTGGCTAGTAAATTGTAAAACTTCAAGTGGTGGGTCTTGAGCATTCTGATCTTCATCATTCCCTAGTCGAAAATTACCAAAACAATGCTAACTCCATTCTGAATCTACTATTTCAGTCATTAAATCATTTGAATATTTTGCTAATTCTTGCATAAAATATCCAAAGTCAGCATCTCCCCAATATATGGCTTTATGAACATCCCACAGAATATTTCATAATCTGAACTGTGATTTCGGCCACTTATTTTCAGCGTCGAGCTCGCAGGAAGAGCTGCTCTGTCCACAGATCGTCTCCATTTAGAGTTCAGGGTTTAGGGTTTAGGGTGTTTGGGGGATTAGGTTCTGGACTTTAGGCCGTAAAGTTTGGGGTCAAGTCCAAGGGTTTGCGGATCTCGGGTGTGGAGTTTGAAGCTTAAGTATATTTTAGGATGTTTAAAGTTCTACCAATCTCAGCATCTCATGCTCCCACATGTGAAACAGCGTCTTGCGCTCCATCAGCCTCAGCCTCTCTGGGCTCCCCTTCTCCACTATAGTCCCAGCCTCTCTGGGCTCCCCTTCCAAGCTTCTCTGGCCTAGCCCTCAGCCATTTTGGCGATGAGCGAAATTCCACTCGTTGTGGTAAGCCTGGTGGAAGTTCATGTTCCAGGTGTCCCAGTTGTGGATGAGGTCGCGAGCTTGGTCCAAGCGCCCCAGCTCCACCAAGGCAGCGAGCCTGGCGCAGCGGGGAAGCCACCCTCCACGTGTCTTCCCCGCTCCCTTTTCTCCGCCTTTCCCGTCTCCACCTCCAGCCGCGTCCCGTCCTCCGCCATTGCCCCCTCCTCCACCTTTGCCCTGTCCTCCAAACTGGGCCGACGGAACCTGGCGGCGATCCTCCCACCGATCCTCCCCGCGCTCCTCGCAGTGCTGCCGCTCCTGCCGCCGCGGGTCCTGGGTTTAGGGTAAGGGTTTAGGGTCTAGGTTTGGGTTTAGGTTGAGGGTGTAGGTTTAGGGTTTAAGTTGAGGGTTTACAGGGTTGAGGGGTCTAAAGCTTTACTGCATTTCATGACAAGCAGCGGCTTGCAAAAAGGGCGCGTCGCTCCTCTCGTAGCGCTCCTCCTTGTCGTCAGAAGAGGAGTCTTCATGCCACTTGCCCTTCGCCTTCGCCTTGGGCTTACCTTTACCCCCCCCTGCTTTAGCCACTATGGGCTCCTTCGACTTAGCCACTCTGGGCTCCCCCTTCCTCTGCTTCTCCTCTTCCACCTCGTCCTCCTCCTCCTCGGCGCTGTCGGTGACGTACGAGTACTCCTCTTGGTAGTCTGGCGCCTCCTCCTTGGCCTGAATCTTGTCAGGGTGCGTCGGGGCCAGCTCGAACTTCTTAGCCTTCTTCTTCGTCTCAGGGAACGGGCACAATCACTGAAAAACCGACCGAAAGGAACCCCAAAATATTTGTGCAGTTTCGACACCCGCGAACGCGCCTTCGCCTCCGGCACCGGCTCCTCTGCGGAGGGGGGACGGTTCAGCTCCTCAAGCTCCTCCCTTTTTCGGCGGTACCTGGCCGCAGCTTCCTCGGCCTGGTCTTGCAGCTCCTGAAGCTCCCTGCTTGCCCTGTCAGCCCCTCTGGGCTCCCTGCTTCTGGGCTCCCCTTCTCGCCGCCCAGCACTGTCCTGAACAGAAATTGTTAGCTCATGCTTTTGTTGGTGGTCTTGCTTGGGGCTCAGAGGCTTTAAGGTTTTTACTTGGAGGTTCGGTTTTAGGTTTATAGGGTGCGCAGGGTTTAGATTTTTGGGAAGTCCTTCGTCTTCCCTGAAGGTGTGCTGCTTCTTTCCTCCTGCAGGGGTGTCAACAACCAAAACCCTATCCCACTAAACCCTAAACCCTAAACCCTAAACCCTAAACCCTAAACCCTAAACCCTAAGCCCTAAGCCCTAAACCCTAAACCCTAAACCCTAAACCCAAAACCCTAAACCCTAAACCCTAAACCCTAAACCCTAAACCCTAAACCCTAAACCCTAAACCCTAAACCCTAAACCCTAAACCCTAAACCCTAAACCCTAAACCCTAAACCCTAAACCCAAGCCCTAAACCCTAAACCCAAAAGAAAGTTTTTCTCAAGCTTAAGGTTTATAGGATGTGCAGGGTTTAGATCTTTTGGGAAGTCCTTCGTCTTCCCTGAAGGTGCGCTGCTTCTTTGCTCCTGCAGGGGTGTCAACAACCAAAACCCTATCCCACTAAACCCTAAACCCTAGACCCTAAACCCTAAACCCTAAACCCTAAACCTTAAACCCTAAACCCTAAACCCTAAACCCTAAACCTAAACCCTAAACCCTAAACTTTTTCTCAAGCTCTGCCTCCAACTGCTTGAGTCTTCGGCTGTAAGCCATGGCTTACCAAAAACCACGACTTTTGCCCTATACCCTATACACTCTTCTTTTCTATTTCTGTGTCTGCGCGTGTGTGCGTGCGAGAGTGTGTCACGTGTGTCGCACGTGCAACGTGTTTTCTGCCACGCAGTTGGTGGCAGCCAAGCCTTGAGAGGCTTCGGCGGATGTCATACAATCAACAGGGCACCGCAATGCAACATGCGATGCTGCTCTGCAAGCACAACCAGAAACCCTGGGCTCTTGATTCTTTACTGCCTTGCAAAAACAGTTTTTTTTGCGCAGTAACAACACTTTCAAAAAACAGGCAACACGTACTTATGTAGCCACTTTGGCTCCCCTAGCAGGCCGCGAACAGCATCAGTCACTGTCATCACCAGCTGCACGCTGCTCTTGCTCAGACTTCTTGGCATAGCGGCCTGATCGCTGATATGCTCTCTTCGAAGGGGCCGCTCCCACATCCTGGCTCAATGCTTTGAGAACGGCGTGGAGACAATCCTCCGTCATATGCACACACAGATCCTCTGTGCTCGTCCTTGCTGTGGTCAGCACCCAGACAGCGACACCATCAACATCAATCTCCACGGCCTCAGGCTTGCGGAGACACATTTTGGGTTTCTTGGCTGGTCGCTCAGCAGGGACGTCGTCGAAAATATCGGGCTCTGCTCCTTCACCCACAGCCTGTGTAGCATCAGCAGTGGCCTGCTCCCGCTTCTTCTTCAAGTCCATCAAAGCCGGGAAGCCGGCAAAGCTTGCGATCTCCCCTTCCAGGCCGCTGAACTGTTGCAGCACGCGACAGATCCGGGGATTCGAAGCCCGCATCTGCAAGTAACAGCGGCCGCCCCGCTCCTTCACTAGCTCTTCAGGGACCCGAAAATGGGTCTTGCAGCCAAGAAAGGCAAACACGTACGACGTCAGCAGCTGGAAGCTGGGACCATCCATGGCGAAGCTGCCCGAAACCCAGAAGCCAACCCATATAAGAAAGTTCGGGCCTCTAGCCAACATGACGTATATTGCTTGCACGTCTTTGCTCCATCCTGTTTCGTGCACGCAGTAACCAGCATGCATGAGTGCGAGTGAGCCAGCACACTTTTTTGCTCTGTGTGCTAGTAAAAGCGATGCTCCCGATGCTCCAGCATATGCTGCATGTGTGGGAAGCGTTCGAACATGCGCACCTTCTTGCTTTCAACATTAAAAACACGCAGCTTTGCTTTGACGTGACAGCATGCAAGGCTCTGAGGCTCACTGGCTCCTGGCTTTCTTCGTGGGCTCGCCTTCTGCTTTGTTAGTCCTTGCAAAGGACCCAAAACATTCGGAAACTTACAATTTGTTTAAAAGGTTTTGGCTTTAGGGTAAGAGCTTGAAATTTACTATTTAGCGACAACTATAGTTTCACATTCTGCCAAAGTACTCTGCCGGCGGCGTGCAAAGGAGAACATCGCCATCCCGGATAGGCTCCGTGTTTTGCCACGCAGGCACCCGCAAGTCGCCCATGCTCAAATACACCAACGTCATGTTTGCATCCTCCTCCGACGCAGCCGGCTTCAGCCAGAAGTATGGCACCAGGGCTGCGCACTTCTCCCACTCAGTGCTCTGCCTCGGAGGCACCACCACAAAGGGCGACTTTCCGTGCTCCACAACGCAGCTGCCCTTGCCAGGCCCGCCGGTCGGGGGAACCCGCAACATGCCGATTGGAAGTAGCCTCAGCTTGTTCTTCTTGAATGCGCCGCCTGCCACCAGTGCCTGTGGGTGCTTTGCAAAAAGCAACTTGGGCTCCTTCGCGGAGAAGTCTTCGTAAGCCTGCCAAAGCGCAGCCTGTGCTCTGCAGCGATGCCGCTCCTGCAACATAGCCTTCAGAGGCTCCTTCTTCGCAGCCACATCTTGCGGGCACAGCTCCGGCATGCAGGCTTGGGTTACACGCCAGCTTTTCAGCTCCTCAAGTCCTGTCACCACACTCGTGACGTCGCCGTGAAGATCCCTGCTTTCGAACGTAGCGCCCGTGGCATCCACACTTTTCAAGGCATAAATGCCGGAGTGGGCCCTGTGCACGTAGTGGCTGCCTATCCGCAGGTGCGGGTTCTTGTGCATGGCATGCTTTGCAGCATCGTCCCACTCTGCCAAGGACACGGGCTCAGAACCGGGGCTTTTGGCTTTCGGAGCCGCTGGGGCCGAGCTCGAGGCAGGCGACTGCCCCTTCACCTCCGACAAAAATAGCTGCAAGCATTCCTCCGGGGTGGTCGCAGTCAAGTTCGGCTCCCTTCCTTGCTTCACCTTTTGGCACACTACCAAAGACACCCGCACCATCAGACGACTGTAGAGCTTGGCCATGTCGGTGCTGGGGTTGGCCTGCGCAGAAGTATATGTTCTTATTATAAACCAACACATAAAGCCTTTCTTAAAAACCCGTGACCCTCCGCCCGTTCAATTAAGAGAAATCAACTATATACAACATCTGTCCTCGTACGCGGCCCACCCTTGTTTCAGGACGTTTTCTGCAGAAGCCAGTCCGCCGGCGGCTTTGGCAGCCCTCAAGCGGTCCACATCAGAGCGAAGCAAAAGCCTCGCAACTCCATCCACCACCTTGGTGGAGGTGAGTTGCGTCATGAGGAAAGCTGCTCTCAAAAAAGGCGCCGCCGTGCCCTTGAACTCAGCATTAGCTAGGGACCTGAAAAATTCCTCGCCTATCATGATGCTCCCACACCACGCCTTGCAAGCCACTGCCAAAAACTTCACGAGTGGGAAGGTTTCGCCTCCAGCATAAAGCTCCACCCAACGGGCGATACTGTCTATATACTTGGCACACTGGGGCTGTGTGGCCTCTGCTTGCTGCGTTGCTTTCTTGAGCACGTCTGCCTGCTCCCCTTTTTGTCTTAACAGCGAGTAGTAGGACGCAATGGTGGCGGCCACTTCCATCTCCGTCATGTTCTTTGTCACAGACTGCTGGGTGTTCATGGCCTGCTGAAGCAGCTGCGGGAGCTCCCCAAACCTGGCCTCCACGTCGCTCGGCAAGACCAACCATTCCCAGCCGTTCTTGCACATCACAGCAAAGGGGTGCTCTGCTCCCTTTGCTGCGAGGACTGAGCCCAAGTTGGGTTGCAGACTTTCCTCAGGAGAGGTAAGTCCATGCAGGCAAGCTCTGCAAAAGGCAACGGTGTGCGAGCATGACACACTGAGGTACCGTTCCTTTCGCGACACCGGGCACAAAAGGCCGTTCGAGTTCTCAACCAGCTCGCAGTTGCGAAGAAACTGCAGCTCCCTTGCCCCTGAGTCCTGGGCCAGCTCAAAGCAGCAAGCGTCTTGCAGGGCTTCAAGCCTGCAGCCCACTTTAAGCATGACTGCTCCTTTGGAGTGCACATCGAAAGGATTCAGCATGAGCCCTCCACGGTTGTCTGGGTGGCAGAGCACTGCTCCCGGCTCAAGCATGGCCTTGTACGCCACACCCTTTTCAAGCAGCAACGTCAAAACCTTGCTCACTTTAACGTTCAGCTCCAAAGAGCTCCCAAGCAGCTGAGACACTGCTGCTTCTGTGGCCGCATCCATGACCATGGCTCAAAAGTTCTACAGCTCTTTAAGCGCACACCCACACATTTCCCGCTTTGCGAGGTTCAGAACCCTCAAGTGTGCATGTGCTGTATCGAAGGCTTGGTGTTTAGTGCTTAGGGTGTCGGGTTCATGTTTTGGGGTTTAGGCTCGGAACCCAGTCTAGCAATGGCACAAAACAAGGGCCTCTGCACCTTTCACCTGGGCCAAACAACATGCGCAAAAGCGTTTGCGCAGGGAAAGGCATCTGGTTCAGCAAGCTTCGTGTTCTTTCCAAACATAACAAAGTTCGAGATTATTTCTGCATATTCCCGACTCGGGCACAAGTTCGCTCGCGCCCCTGCCTACAAATCGCCCCGCAAAAACAGTTTCGGCCAACGGCCGTCCTCCCTCCATGCCCCAGCTTCTTGAATATTATTTCTTAAAAAAGCTGACACTTAGCTCATTTACAGAACTTGTTAATCATTTAGGTAACTAAGTGTAATTGACATAACTAGTTATGCTGGTTTAGCCTAACTGGTTATCAACTTGTATATTTTTGGGGTAATTTTGCTAAAGGATTGTATTCCATTTACAACTATTGCTAAGTTCTGTAACCACTTACAGCTAATTATGCTGGGAAACCATCTGGTTACCATTAGGTTGCTACATACTTGCTTGACGTTTGCTAATTGATCAAGAATTAGATGTATCTTTGACAACCAGTTAACAAACCCCGGGCCATATAAGTGTTGTTGTTTCGTGCTTGCCGGAGTTGTTGCCACGTTGTTTGTGTCTTTTAGCCCTGTTGTGTGTTGCTGCTGCTGCTGCCGCCGCCGCCGCCGCCGCCGCCGCTGCCGCTGCCGCCGCCGCCGCCGCCGGCCGCGCCGCTGCCGCCGCCGCCGCCGCGGCCGCTGCCGCTGCCGCTGCTGCCGCTGCCGCTGCTGCTGCCGCTGCTGCCGCTGCGGCTGCCGCTGCTGCTGCCGCTGCCGCTGCTGCTGCCGCTGCATCCGCTGCCTTGGTCGTCTCTGTCGCTGCCTCCCATTGCCCAGTAAGAATCCGAGTTTCTGAGCCTGAAGCCCAGAAGTGCTAGTATCACCGAGGTGACTTACCGCCAGCTTGTTGCCAGTGGCTTCCAGGAGGTCTCTGAGTGCTTTGGCTTTGACATGCTTTGACTTGCATCATCAGCATTGTGGACTGTTAGACTCCGGCGGTACTACGGACGCCACCACCACCACGACCACCACCACCACCAATACCACCAATACCACCAATACCACCAATACCACCAATACCACCAATACCACCAATACCACCAATACCACCACCAATACCACCAATACCACCACCAACACCACCAATACCACCACCAATACCACCAATACCACCACCAATACCACCAATACCACCAATACCACCAATACCACCAATACCACCAACACCACCAATGCCACCACCGCCACCACCACCACGACCACCACGACCACCGCGACCACCACGACCACCACGCCAGCAACCAAAAGGAACGACGACGACGACGACGATGACGACGACGAACACGATGCTGATGGATGACGTCCACACCGTTGTCGGCAACGACTGCAGCAAAAGAAACAACATTCGTAGCAGCAGCAACCACAAGCCAAAGAAAAATGAGGACAACAACAACCACAACAGTGACCCAGCTACAAAAACACCACTACTAGCAGCAGCCAGCAACTGCAGCATCAGCGACACCAACAGCAATGGCAACAGCAGCAAAAAGCACCACCGCTGCCACACCGTAGTAACAACAGCTGCGGCCGGCGACAGCAGCAGCAACAGCAACTGTAACTGCAGCACAGCACAGCATTACAGCACTAACGCGCAGAAGCCGACACAGCATTAACAGCAAGAGCAACAGCAACGGCGTGTTTCCTAGGGTGTGAGACAGCGAAGCACCACCGTCTTCGCAAACAAATCCAAAAGGAAGCCAGCAAACAGCTAGCAACAACAATAGCAGATCTAGCAACATCCACAGCATTGACAACCCGAACCGCATTTATAATGACACATCATTGACAACATCGGTACCATGAATAGCTGAATAACAGCAACAACAATAGCAGCACTCACGGCAGTAACAACATGACACCACATCAACAAGATGAACACAAAGAGAGAAAGAGAGAGAGAGAGAGAGAGAGAGAGAGAGAGAGAGAGAGAGAGAGAACATAAGTAGCAACATCGGCCACAACGACGATGACAGCTGCAGCAGCAGCAGCAACAACACCAAAAGCAACAGCAACAACAGCGGCAACCACTGCCACAGCCACGGCCACAAACCAACACAACCACAGTCAACCATCCAACAAAACAAAATACAACACTATGAAGCAAGCAAGCAAGCAAGCAAGCAAGCAAGCAACAAAACAAACGAAGGCACACAAAACAAACGAAAGCAAGCAAAAACAAACACAAACAAACACAAACAAAAACAAACAAACAAACAAACAAACAAACACACATTTTGACTTTGACGCTTTGCGTAGTCTGTGCTGCAGTGAGCATAGCCCAGCATTCGCGTGACCATGTCACAACAGAGGTGAACTTCGAGCATAAAGAGCTTAATTGAGCGGAGGAGCGATGTGAAAATCAAACCTCCACTTCCGAGCAGAACGTTGCATAAACAAATCTTGCAAGTGAGCGCGAGGGTCCGGCTCACACATATGTTTGGCACGGTATGATACACCTTTGGTTGGGCGGCTGTAGCCCAACACGTACAGACTACGACAATTCACAACACATTCCATAGGGAGGAGAGCTACGTGCATGCTTTTCCTAAACCATTTGACTATATACATACATACACACATACATGCACACAAACGTACAAACACACAAACAGTCACAAACAGTCACAAACACACAAACACACAAACACACAAACCCGCAAACACACAAACACACAAACACACAAAAACACAAAAAAACACAAAAACACAAGAAACCAAAAAAACACAAACACACACACACACACACACACACACACACACACACACACCCACACACACACACACACACACACCCACACCACACACCACACACCACACACCACACACCACACACCACACACCACACACCACACACCACACACCACACACCACACACCACACACCACACACCACACACCACACACCACACACCACACACCACACACCACACACCACACACCACACACCACACACCACACACCACACACCACACACCACACACCACACACCACCACACACCACACACCAGACACCACACACCACACACCACACACCACACACCACACACCACACACCACACACCACACACCACACACCACACACCACACACCACACACCACACACCACACATCACATACCACGCATCACACACCACACACCGCACACCGCACACCACACACCGCACACTGCACACACCACACACACCACACACACACACACACACACACACACACACACACACACACACACACACACACACACACACACACACCCACGCACGCACGCCCGCACGCCCGCACGCCCGCACGCCCGCACGCCCGCACGCCCGCACGCACGCACGCACGCACGCACGAACGCACGAACGCACGAACGCACGAACGTACGAACACGCGAACACGCGAACACGCGAACACACGAACACGCGAACACACGAACACGCACACCCATTCACAACCACACTAACCAAACAAACACGCACAAGACAACAACCCAAGACAACAAAAACATCAAACCAGCCAGCCCAAGTCGACCACACAACATGCAATATGCCACAGCAAAAGCAACGGCAACCGCAGCACCAGCACAGCAGCAGCATATCTTTGGACCCTTGGGCCCGTGGCTCTTGACTGACCTGATAGGGTCGAGATGACTGGCCATGGTTGGAGGGGACGGCCTTCCGTGCGAAGCCCACGAGTAAAGCAAAGAAAGCAGATTTGCAGCCTACATGCCACCGGCCTTGTCATTGTTCCAGCCGGTGTAGAGTTCCGGCTTAGGTGCTGTTGAGAACGACCCTATCACGGGTCCGTGCTTATCATGACCCGTCCTGGATCTGCGTTTAGCCGAGGAAGGATGCCGCCTGGGATCTGGCGCCTTGGGACATTTGTTACGTGCTTCAGGATTCTGGGGTACCGCCAGGGGTGAGACTAGTGAGACTGTGCTCTGCCATCCATTTGTTCGTTTGTTGACCGATGTGTGTGTGTTTGACTGGCACCAGCTGTGCACCCAGGGCGAGGGGCACAGTCGGAGCTTGATGCACCTCGACGACGTTTCAGCCTTCCTACCCGTCCTGCCCATGCCGGCACGACAAAAGCAGTCCATACAGTTCAGCACACACACACACACACCGACCACAGCCAACAAAGCACGTGGACACTCTGCTGCAACACATGCTGCAAGGTTCAGCTTCACGTTGGTTGCATCCATCGGCTATGGCAATATAGCACCGGCAACAGATGCTGGGAGGGTCTTCTGTATGGTTTTCACGTTCCTTGGCTTGACACTCCCGAATTTCTGAGACTTTGATCGCAACTGTCGCAACACTATAAAGGTAGAGGTTTGATGTCAAGTGTTCCAAGGAAGCCTCGGTCGTGCGTCCTTGATGTCAGGTTAGTGGCCACGCCGGCACTGGTGGTGGCATACCTTGGTGCAGCAAGGAAGATGAACCTTGGCACAGCCGTTTGTTCGGCTGCATGCTGGGCTTATCAGAGCAAGCTCACTCAGACATAGCACAAAGGCATGCTGGAGACTAACTAAGGATCGACTTCACCAGAGTCATAGCCATGCTCTTCAACAAGAAGATGCCTGTCTTGGGTTCTGAATGTGTTGACATCTGTTGAATGCAGCTCTGGAGCTCTAGAAGCTGCGTGGAAGGCGGCAGTTGGCTATCCTGTATGACGTAGTTTAGCCTGTTGTGCCTTGTCAGCTCACGTAAGCATGGGAGTGCTGCTCAGGAATATTCTCACCTTTCACAAATACGATACTGACGGCTCTGGGCAGCTGGATTTCGTCGAGTTTGGATCAGCTCTGCGCGATCTGGGGTATCCAGCTGCTCGGACCCCTTGGACCAACCGTATCGGGACATGCCTAATTGATTTGCCGTGTGTTACCCTGCAGCGCCAGCTAGTCTGCAATTCCAGCCAGATCGGAATGCCATTTTTAGTGAACTTGCTGCAGGTTGCAGAAAGTGATGTGAACTTGATCATGGAGGAAGTCAACATTTGCCACTGTCTGGCAGTTGTTGTGCTCGTGATTGCGGAGCAAGTCAGTCAGAATTCGCCGCAGCAGAACACATGCATCGAAATCCTGACGTTTACTACGAGCTAAATAGTCGCTTCAGGGAAAGAGCTGCTGCAGGTGATACCTCGCTGGTAACAATTCAAGAGTTCGGCCAGGCACTGAAGCTAGCTTGCAAGAAGGATGTCCGAAGATTTCTTTCTATCAAGGATGTTCAAGGCGCAGCAGTCCGGAAGCACGTGCGATGTTGCAGCATGCGCTAAGGATCTTGCTGGAGTTTCCCAGTGCGCGGCAGGAGAAACATCGCCTGAGTGACCAGCGCTTAGTTTTTTCTCTCACAAGCCGATGGCATGCTCACCACTCCACTCTGTGCACGTGGTCTTGAATTCCCCCGCTTTGGTGTGTAAGGCTTGTAAGGCAGAGGCAGAGGCTTGGTCGGGTACATGAAGCTATCAAAGAAACCATTGAAAGGCGATGATCAGTTTCTCCACCACGCTGACATGGTTGCTAGCTGGTGCGGCGTGCCTTGAGCCATCAAATCTTGAAAGTGCACTGGATTGCGCTCTTGTTATGTGATTTCGAGGTGGGGAAGGCAATGAAATAGTTTAGGGCGGCTCGCAACTGCGAAGAGCATGACGGTGCAACCTATAGACTATGAACCTAAGTGTCGACGGCAACGTTCTGCAGAGCTGGGGGAGGTGGGAGAAAGAGAATAGCAACAACACAGATCATCCACAGGTGCTTTCAGCAAATCGAAGGCTGGAGCTTCGTCGAGCCTTGGCTGCCATGCGACTGCCAGCATTGCACACCACATGCATGCGCAAGCAGGTAGACTCAGTGCATGTTTGTTGGCCTGAGTGGCAGGGTGGCAGAGTTTTGTCTAGTTTTGAGAAGCCGAAAGCTGGAGGAGGCAATATGGTTCTGCTGGGAGACGCTCATGACCATCGGCTTGGGTGACCTTGTGCCTCAAACCAAGACAGGGCGCAGCTCGGCCCTAAACATGGTGTGCGAGACTCGTGGCTTCAAGGCTTTGTCGTGGTGTGTGTGTGTGTGTGATTCGCGACACATTCGCCCGCTCCCTACATCTTCTGAGAGGAAGATGCCCCCACAGCATTGTGAGATTGCGTTGTGAAACGGCACCCAGGATGGTTTACCTTGGCTTACAGCTTCCTGGGTCTTGGATTCATTTCTGTTCTCCTTCAGCGACTTGGGCTGCGAAGAAGGCATTCTTGGACATTTAATGTTGGAGTCGACCAGTGCGAGGGATGTAGCCTGGGCCTCCCACTCGCCTTCAATCAGTCAGCACATACGGCCACGTAGGTGTGGATTGTCATCGGGGACACCCTAAGGAGCATAGTGGACCTTCTGTCCAAGCACAGCTCCATCATCGGGAGGTTGGAGATGCGACTGTTGGAGGCCCGTACCACGAAGCCATCCTGTCCCCAAGGTCAGAGGCTATATAGTTTTTTACTTGGCGATCTCCCCGTCCAGCAAGCTGCTAGAGATGCAAGCGCCGCCTAAGGCTTTGAGTCTGTAGAGACTGTAGAGCACAGATCTTGGCCCTGAGCAAAGTGTGGTGCAGGTTTGCGATTAAATATGACTTGTTTTATTATTCGATGTATTCTGGATTGCCTGTTGCAGTTGGACTACAGCTGCATTGTTTGCCGGTTAAACCGAGTCTGGAAACATTTCGGTAAACACGCAGTTGATTAAAGTGTAGTACACTGTAGGATCAGCAGTGAGGGTCCAAATGGCACTGGCAGGGCGCGTCATCAGCGCGTTCCTTCAAGAACGTGAAGCTGCAGCAGAAAGTGGTGAGAAAACGCACCCTGATCGCAATGGTACTTATTTTGATGTCAAGCAGTCAAACGAGTACGTGAGTTGGGACTGGCATGAACTCCTTTTTTTGGAACGGTTGGCCCAGGCGTGAGCTCCTAGGCTGCATTCAGCAAGGACACTTGGAACGTTTCTGGGTTGGATTTTTGCAGTCTTATCACAAGACTTTGCACGTCAAGTTGTGGACACAATCTGCCGATGCTAAAGCTGTCCGTGGCAAGATGGCCTGCAGCACCAAGCTTGCCGGCACACCAGATTGAGCAACTTATTTCATCAATAAATATGTCGCAGAAGTAAAACAGCCAAGGCCTGTTGCAGGCCTGGGGGAGGGCATGTCACATGTCACTCACAGAGCCTTGTCCGGAATCTTTCCCAACAGTGCGGGGCCATGCTGCGCTAACCGAGCTAGACGGAAGTCGAAACTTCGAGTTTATGCGTGGTGAGAGCCTGCAAGATTCATGGTCATGGCATGGTGCAGGCAGAACGATCCAGCCTGGCTGATGGCAACAGCATCAACAGCACCAACCACTCGGACTCGTTGCAAAGACTTGGGATCGGTTCTCACACCTACTCGTTCCTACAGCTAGCTAGCTGGAAGTAGTTCGACCCTCAAGTGAAGTCGTCGGAGCGCGGGACAGTCTCTAGGGCTTCTGTGTAGGTCGGCTGTGGCACATATCAATGAGAGGGAGCTTGGGAAGAATCCCCGAACCTGAGCCAAGGAGCCCGTCTCACCCTCGGAGGTGGCGAGCATGGCCAGCATGGCCAGCCCACCGGATGTGGGGTCAGAAGGTGCGGGTTTTCGGACTAGGAACTGCCTTTCTGATATTTTCTGATTGTGCCACCGAAGCTTTGCCAGCTTCAGGTCAGCTGTCCATCACCATCACACATGGTACTACCATCAGTGCTCCCACCTGTGCTCCAAGCAGTCGTCCTAAACGGTTTACTGCCACACCCTCCCCTCCTTCCACTACGTGTAGTATGCCGCCAAGCCGAGAACGACAGACAGAAGACCTCGACCGTGCAAATCTGCGCACAAACAGCAGGAGTTTTTAATATCTGTAGATACGAGCAAGGTCACCATGTTCGCATGCTTGTGCATGCTTCCACTTTACGCTTCCGTCCCTCCCTACCAGCCAGAACGTCAATCCCTTTTTCAGCACACGAATGCCAATTTTCATGGGAATCTGCTGGCATTTATGACATCCTGCCACAGCATGTAGCTGGGACCACCAGTTGCTCAACGGCTGTCACACTGCCACAAACACTCACAAGCACCCCCCATAACGACACGGATGCGAATGATTGCTGGTGCTGCTGGCCTGCTCTTCCTAATATTCCACATTCCCTGGCAGGTTCCGAAGGCTGGTGTGCAGACCCAGGCCAGCACTGCACCAGCCCTGCAGGATTGAGCGCGCTTGATTCGGCAATTTCGGCATTCGAAGCAGATCAGACAACAAGGGCAGCAGTCGAGTCCCTCGTGACAAAGAAGAAAGGCAGATCAGACACGCCACCAAAGCACAATCCAACCCAGGCGAAGACGATCCAATCCCGGATGGCTGGGAGTCTCGACTCAATGTGCATAAATGTAGGTGAGCTGGTGGGGGATGCCTCAGCCTCTCTTGTCTCCTGGTGCGCGAGCTGCCGCGAGCTGCCTTGCCCAAGACCGGCACTGAAAAAAGTTCAAGTCCAGGTCCGCGTGTAGCGGCTGTAGCAGCTCTTGGACAGCGGCATCGAGAGATTGGAGGCTTGGCTGCGATGTCAGAGCTTCAAGCCATTTGCAGCCTTGCGAGGATTCCAGCAGTTTTCCGGAGCCCGGGCAAATATCATGATATTCAGCCGCAAGCAGTGGCCCTGCCTCGAATGCCAAGCTGCAGACAGGTCGGACCTTTGTATTGCGGCTTCACAGGCTGTTGGGTGAGACCTGGACGTCCCTCCTTGGGCAATTCCAACGGATGTGCCCAGGTCTCTTGTAAATCGGCCTAGCGGTATGGCAGGTACGGCCTATGGGCAGTTTCACTTTTTCCGCGGCTGCTGTCGCTTCATGCGCGAGGGACTGGTTGTTTTGGCATTGTGAGTGCAATTGTTAGGTCTGTTAGGTGGGCTGGAAGAGATGAATGCTGATGGCAAGAGCGCCACGCGCAGGCATGCTGCCCCACACATTCCCTGGGCACGTGGTTCCTTGTAAAACAGGAGCCTGTCCCAGATGAGCGGAAAGTGTGTACAGGCACGAAGAAAAACATGGCATTGCTCTAGCGAGGCAAGCCACCCAAGGAGTCCGAGTCCCAAGGGCAGTATTTCAACACTCCGCATACTTGGAGCTTTCCTCGCTTGCAAAATCCGTCAGGTCGCGCATGAGTCTGACAGCCCCAGCAAATTTGCAGGTCAGCCTGGTAATTGCCAGCCTTGACCGCCGCTCCGATACCTCAGCCAGGTGGAAAAAGCAACAGCTTGCGATCAGAGACTCACAAGCTCAGCAGATGTGGGAACTGGGTATGCAGCCTGACGCCAATAGGAGTTGTCAAGATGTTGGATAGCGTGCCAAGCCCGCTAAGCCTTCATGGCGGCATGTGCACTTTGGCTCTAGCACTGTACCCGCATCGTATATACATGGGTCGAGTCAAGCGGTCACGAACATGATTGAATTCAGCCCTGACGTAGGCATCTTGCAAAAGGGCCACACGGGCCATCAGACCATGGCCACAGCGCAGTCTCCCAGCAAAGCAGGGGCCTCTGATGGAGCTTCCATGCAGCGGCCCATTCTGCAGCTGGGTCCCCCGGAAGCTGCGTGGCAGGAGGCTCTGCATTGCGCAGCGATTATCACTCCGCTGCAGCGCAGCTCAGCACTCGTAGCGGGGCGTGTAGGCGTGTATCAGCAGGCGCTCGTGCGCAAGCTTCGGAGTTTGGAAGCCGGTGCAGGCGCAACAGGAAAAAGTGGCTATGGCTGTGATTGGCTGTGACCTTGTCAGTCTTCCTGTCTCATCCTGGCGTGGCTCAGGGCCAGTGCCGGCCGCGCGCACGGACGCTGCAAACTCCGTGGACCTCTTGGGTACGGCCGACCTCCCGCTTTGGCAGTAACTTGGCCAAGGTACGAGTATCACCAAGAGCCGTCTGGACAAGACATGTTTGGGTGTGTGTGTGCATGTATTTGGATGCCAGCCTTCGCTCGAAATAATTAGACTTCAAATACTTCATTCGCATGCTGTGTGACCCAGGAGTTGGCCGTGCTACTTCGAGGTGTTCCAGTACTGTGCAGCATCCAGCCTTCAGCATGGGGGCCTGTAGCACGTGCCCCTGAATTGAAGAACTTGGAGAATCGGCACACCCTTTTTCTCCCCTCAACTTGCAAGTCAGCAAGTCATATAGCACTGGTAATTCATGCCTCCACGTGCGATAACAGCTGTACGGTACAGAGCCAGGAGCCACAAATCCGAAATGCCGCGAAACGTTGTGTGAGCTTGTGGGTCTTTGTTTGGCCCCGAGGCCGCATGGAATCCCGGCCACGAACGACTTCGCTCGCTGCATCTTGGCTACGACGCACCGGGAAGCGCCGGGGGCCCCAGGATACTACATGATACTACAGGTTCAAAACATTGAGAGGGGGGAGATTAGTCTTAGCTTCTAGTTGATTCGAGTTAGAGGGACGTCATACCCGTGCGACATTCTCGCTGGTTTCGCTCCTCCCACGAATGTGTCTGCCTCTGTGTGTGTGTGTGAGCGTTTGTAGCACCGTAGAGGCTGCCATGCCTCAAGGCGGATGTCAACGAAATGCAACGTTGTCGACGCCTTTGGCTGTTAATGCGGATAGCCCAGGAGGCCTGCCGGACATTGGGGCCACAGGAAACAGCCTTGGCAGTCTCTGGGCGTGCTGCATCGAGAGTTTAATGGCCAGGCACTGCCACGGATGCGATAAAATCCCTTGTCATGGCCATGCGCAACTTGTTGGAACATGTGGAAAAAAGGGGCCGTATGGTGAGCGATAACTGCAAATCACCGCTTCGTGCACGAACGACGGCCGGTTGTGTGAAAGGATTACATTGCATCGTGGTTCCACAGAAGGCTCGTCCAATCTCTTGCTGGCCCTGGCCACACGCCGTGACCTTCCAAGTGAGCCACGTGTGTCCATGGCCACACGCTGTGAGGCCGGTGTTGTCGAGGGCCATTTGAGCAAAGCTTGCGTTCTCCTGTGGCTGCCACGAATTGCACATAGCTGCTGCCTCAACACCCAGGTCCTTTCACTGAACCATCTGCTGGCAACGACTTCAGAGCTGCAGCCGCTGCTGCAGCGGTGGCGCTGGACCGCTCAACAGCTGTTTGCTTGGAGATGGGTGCCGTTTCTCCTCTTGCGTTCGACCAGCGCCAGCTAGAGTCTAGAGACGTTGACAACAATTCAAGTACATTGTGCGTGTTTTGGCAACCGTGGGCACGTGGAACATGTGTAGGGCGTGCTGTATTGGGCAGCTCGAGTTCCAACGATCAAACCATGTCCGATGCCCGAGCTCGTAGCCCTGGCCGCAGAAAGAGGACAGAGGAAGCTTCTTAGGCCTGAGGCCTTTCAGGCTGGCAGTATGGAGAAGATGGTACAATGAGACACAGTGATAGGTGCATGGAATTTCGCACCTTCTGAGTTATACATTGTGCTGCGAGAATCGCATGTCGACTCTTGCAGCTAGCGCTCGGCCGAAATGCTCGTTCCCTCGCAGCACGCGTGATGGCACATGTCGCCCAAAGACAGAGGCCCCAACTGAATCCCCCAAGTTCTGAGCCAGAGATATCACATGATGGCACATGCTTATTCCCCACCATCGTTGTAGTGCTGCCAGATTTTCTGGCTTTTCTCCTCGCTCGGTTGTCCACTGTCTCCCCTTAAGGTGACCTCTAAAGAGTGCACCCGGCAGGGCCTACTCAGATTCTGATCCTGGCGCACTCGTCCTCAATGATGGTTGCAATGGGTTGAAGTGTACACTCTGCAAGTGGTCCTTTGCCGCCACGTGCTCGACCTGAGTCTTGGCGGGCCCACACCCAAGAGGTCGTGCGACAGCCACAGATAATGGAGCGCCCACCTCCAGACATTCCCTTGGAATGCCGAAATGAAATGACATCAACAATTCAGGGTGGGGGGAGGACATGCTTATAGCAATACAACCGTCAGCAAGTACAGCCATCACACTCTCTGGACGTTGACCCGGGAGTTTCTTCAGGCCTACGAAAACTGCACCACACAAAGAAGGTTGTGGCGTTAAAGCAGTTTTGTTGTGCCGCAGAAGCCATCCAGGCTAATCCTGAAACATCCTAAGGATTCCCTAATTACTGCTGCACACACCCAAGGCCACAACAATTGTTCGGAGAAAGAGATGAATCGAATGCGCAGAATGTTGAAGGAGGGTGGCCTCCGAGAACCCACACCACGAGTTCAGCACCGATGATGCACCTGTCTCTCTGACAGAGGTGGAAGAGCGGCAACCTCGGCAGCGTTTAGAACCTAGATGAATCTAGGACTTTAGGATCATTGAATATGTCGGGCATTTAAGCTGCAAGAGATTTCAATTGGTGACCTGGATCAAACTAGACATGGGTATGTTCATGTGGCATGCAGGATGCCAGGTCGAACATGCAACGGCCGTTCTGTTCAAGCCATGAGGCGGGAGACGATTCGATGAAAGCGCATCTGAGGCTGTACAGCCACTACTCATCAAATTGGTTCCACTCTGAATCGGGCAGCGGGCGGTTGATAGAGTCTTTCCTGCAGACTCGGTGTGCACATGGAGTGTTGCTATGCCGTGCTGTGTTGGTGGGGACGGTGGGGCATTCTTGAAACTGCCTGCCGGGTCTGGCCTGCAGAATAGCCAAGCGAAGCTCACAGGAGTTTCTTGAGAATCAAACTGCCCCTTGCCACTTGGACCCAAGTTTCAATTTCAATGTAGGCATCCTTCATGGTCCGATCTCGACGTGTCTGAGGAGGGCAGCATCTGGAATGCCAAGCACTACTTCTGGTGGTTCGGTTTGGGTGCGGGCCCAAGTTCTTTTGGTTGAGTTGGATCTCAGAGGAAAGAGTAAGAAAGATGGACAAGCGCAAGCGCTGCTTGTGTTGGATGCATGTAGCGCTTACACGCACCCTTCGACAGGCCACTTTGCACACGGGAAGGGCCAATAACAGGAAGCCAGCAGGCTGTACGCTGCTTATAGCTGCTGGCACTGGTGAGGCGAGACTGAGAAAGGCACGCCTCTCTGCGCATTGCGTGCCGGAACTTGCTGTGTGTCCGCACCACAAAACCCCCAGTCAAGATTTTGCACATCAACCACATCAATGTGCAAGGGAATTCTGCAGGGCGCAATTAATTGCTCCCAAGGCCGTTGCACTAAAAAGAAACAGCATGCCGTAGGAAAGAGGCTTGCTCCTTCGCAGAATATGTGCGCGCATGCAGTTTCAAGATATTTGAAAGTGCGATGCCAAGCTTTACCCAGGTCGCCGGGACCTAGCCGAGCGTCTTGTCCACCTAGCTGTGGCTTCGTCGGCGCCGGGGACACGAAAACGGCCAGCCGCTGGGCCTGAAGTTGCACCTGTTCCGGGTTGTGCGGCCTCGAACTTTTTGGTGTTTGAAAGAGCACTTGCCGCTTGTTTTGAACAATAGAAGTCAGTGCATGCTTTGAAATAGGGTTGTGATGAAAGGCTTCTAGTGGTTCTCAGTTGAGAAATGCTGTTCCCACGATGGTTTGCTGCAAGCTTTTGTGAAGTAGAGCCGGGCAGATGGGAGCGCGAGGCTGCTTTGGCAACTCTGGTGGCGGCTCTAGGCCATCAGTTGTAGGGAGTTATGGCAGTTATGGGTATGTTTATGTAGGGTCTCGGGGGCCTCATTCTGAAAGCAAGTCTCTCTAGAGACCATGCCGCCATGTTTGTTCCATACAGCTGCCCTGCCTGGCAGGAGGTTTGCGCGTGGGCGGGTGCTTGATCCTGCACAGTCCCCACAGAGGGCAATCACTAGCTGGACTCGCGCAGGCCTCAAAGACTCAAAGAAAGTTCTGCCGTGAAGCAACGAAGCCTTCACGAAGCCTTTTCAGCTGCCGTGATTTTGCGATCCGAGGTGCAGCACCTTTTCGAGCGCACCGAACTTGTTGCAGTCCCTCGAAATTCTGCTGGAGAGCCGGAGGCGGCATTTCCGCTTGAAAGTCTTCCGCTCTTGCCACGGCGTTCCACATTTCCAGCTCACTTCGAGGTGTTTCTTGTGGGTTGGCAGTTTCGTGGGGTGCAGCCGGCTCTTCTTCAAGCGCTGTCTGGTGCGGTGAGCTGCTGGGTTGCAAATACCGTGTTTGTTTAAGATGCGTGGGGCCATAGCAACACCATTCGGTAGAGCTGTCCGCCAGTGGAGTGTTTCTTTGGCGGCACTCGCCCGGAACCCTAAACCCTAGCAGCTGTGCATGCAAAAGCTGCAATTAAAAAAACCGGTGCGTGTCTAGTTAGCTTTCGTAGCCACCGTCTCAAGCAAGAACCATCAAACAAGCCCCAAATTTTTTTAGTGGACGAATCCCGAGGCAAGGAGCTGTCGGCCAAGCAGAGTCCAGAGCTCGTGGATGCGGCGCTTCTCCATCCAAGCCTGTCAGGCCATGAAGCATAACTTGGGCGGATGTTCGCGTGCAGATACAAAGGATTCTCAGCTTGAGCCTTCGAAAGCAGCACGGTATAGCATGTTCAAGGGTGGCATCCATGTCCTAATGTCGTGAACTTCAGGTCTGAATCCATCTTTGCATGATCGTGTGCTTATGCTGAGGGTCAAAGTGCAGCAACCTGGGCTGCTTCTGTGGTCAAGAATTGTATTCTATTCGTAGCTACGTTGTGAGGCTTAGCTACGTTGTGCGTGAGGGTCTTGGAACTTCTTTGGGTTTCTTTGGTTTGGTGCAGTCGGCATCTCGGTACTCCGGACGGTGCTCACGACCCTTGAGGCCGGCTGGAGGCGTGGCAGCGCCTTGTTGCCGAGGGGCCTCGATCTGCCCCGAGGACGGGCAAAAACCCGCATGTGCAAAGCCCATCTGCGCAAGGCAAAATGTTGCAGCTTGCATCATGCGCACCAGTTTATCCTCGATAGTCAAGGATCGTCGGGGAGTGTGTTTGGATTCCCATGAGGACACTTGCCTCGATGCCGGTACAGCTGCACCTGCTTTGGGGCCACTGCCATGAGTCGCTGCTTCAAGGACCTCCAGGTGGGCGCAGCAGCTTTGATTGCTTTGAAAATGTCTTGCACACAAGATCCGTACCCCCGTCCTCTACCTCGGTCCCTTTTCGGAAACGCAGGTGCAACAGGAGCGCAGCAACTCGACTTCACACGGCTGGCTCAGCGTCGCCAGCGACTTTGGTGTACAGAGGCCATAGGTGGCTGGTGCGGGTCCGTGTCTTCGCATACCTTGAAGTACTGACCGGAAGGCACCTGCCGCCAAGCGAGCTCGCCTCACCCCAGTTCCACCCAGCGAAAAATGCCGAAGTTGGTGCCAAGGAGCCGTCAATGGCAAACTGATGTGACGATGTGAGCCTTCCAGAATGCTCTAAGTGTGTCAAGGGCAGACCTAGGGGAAGCTCAGATCTTGAGGATGGCGACAGATGATGCGGAGCCGTGCCTTGATTGATCGAGTTACCACTGGGCCACTAGGGCAGTGCCTGGAGCTTACAACGCTCAGGTGAAGCAGACCGCGTGCTGTTGCAGACCTTGGAGGTTTCTGCCGAAGCTGCGGTTACAGCAGCAAAGCTTTGGTGGAAGGCCCCCGGCAAGGTGTATACTTGACATCCGTGAGAGCTGGACATGACGGCACGACATCTGCAGAGGAAGTACGGCTGCAACCACCCTGGACGCGCCTTTTTGGCAGAAAGGTCGCATGACATGATGCGCCGCAGCACTTGTCCACACCTTCTGCTTCGTGCATCGTGTCGCTTAGCCTAAAAGCCCGTGACCGAGTGGTACCAACAAGTAGATGCTGCAAGGCTGGTCCATTCCACGTTTGCCGAACCCCAAAAGCTCTACGCGGGGATCTCGGCTCGGTTGGAACGCGAAGAGCGTGGAGGCGTGGAAGTCGCACGGCTTCTCGGACTCAGAATGTGGCAGAGACAGAAGATGTGCGCTTTCCACAAAAATACAAAAAACCTAAACAAAGCAAGTATTGGCACCGAACACTTGCCGTCAATGCGACGACATAAGCGGCATGCGAATCTGTCGAGACTGCAGCGGAAGTTGACGGATGACGGTGCACTTCACACAGTTAAGACGCCTAAGTACGGAAACTCGAAACGATAAGCACGTTCCAGGAGTCCGAGGCAAACTCTCAAATCATTGACCCTGGTTTTTCCAGTCTTTGACTTCTTGTTTACTATTGTTGACATGTTCAAAATGATCTAGAGTCTAGGACATGCTACAGTAGGGCAGGAGGGAGGCAAGCGTCCCAAGTTTCATAAGACGACGACACTTCACGCGGTGTTGCCGCATATGTTGAATTTTCTTCCCACGGTGCCTGACGGAAATCGCTGGCTTGTCTGAACTCGGAAAATGATGACGTGTAAGGCCACTTTCTTTACAAGGCATAGCGCACTGCTCACGTGTATTGGGTTTAGGGCCGAGGCTCCCTGATGAAGCACCACCGCTTCTAGCTGCTTTCATTGACCTCTTGGCTACGTGGTTGCCGAAGCGGCTGTCCAAAGGAGGCTGTGCAGAATCTGTGGAGAAAGGGGTAAGAGAGCGAGAGAGAGAGAGAGAGATATTCGGCACCCTCACGAAAATGCGGAGGAGAGGCCCTGGCATGCCAGCAATGCCTCGTGGCTTTGGATGGTGGGTTTTACTTATTTGTCTGGGTGGGTTCGCTCCGAGGCTTCTGTGTGATGCTACCTGGTGGAGATGAGACGGTCCCCACGTGGCTGCGAAACGAGATGGGCATGTCACAGCACCTTGGCAGCCTCCCAGGCCCTGCTTGGAATTGGAGAGCCTAACGCAGGCACCTATTCGAATCTCATGGTGTTGGATTTGTAGGGGTCAATAAGGCTACAGAAGCTATGCTGGGGTGATCCAGGTGCCATGCTCTTCGAGTGACACCCGCATGGAGCTCAGCATCCCGGATATCTGATTACGTTGCTCCATGCCATCCTGTCCTGCAGGATGGCTCTGCAGCTGCCCGAGGTCCACCGGCCAGCATCAGGTAGCTCCGGCCAGATGAACTTGAACCTGCCTTTCACGAAGGTCAAGCGGACCTGACTCTGGTGGAGCTGTGCCCGGATCCAGACTCACACCCCAGCTGTGAGCTTGCCGAAAGCTCAGAAGCCCACACCTGCCCAATGTAGCATCAGATCAGGCTACAGCAGTCAGCACTCATGCAAGTAACTTGCTGATTGTACATCGGCAGCTTTCTTGGTTCACTTGCCCAGCTCCTGAAAGTGGCACGTCACCCGTTAATTTGACAACGGCACCGTGAAACTGAAACCGCTGTTGTGCGCCCTTTATCATGAGAATTTTTTGGCGTGGAAAGGCAGCTGTGCACAGGGTGCGGTGGCAGTAGGCCGAGGCTCAACTTACCGAAGGTTGTTGGTCACCCGTGCTTGCTGCAATGTCGCTGAACAATCGCACATCGCACATGCCCACAGAGGCGGGCAATTTCAGCTGGCCATGCAAGTTCCAGGCTTCTGCGCAACCATGCGCTGCCGCAACCTGTGAGGTGATGGGTCGTTTTCCTTGGCTCCTCCGAGACGGCAGGACAGGTCCTTCTTGGCGATTAAACAGACTGTGATGTATGGGAACGATCTGCGCCTTCAGGCCATACAGCATCAGCCAAGAGGCCGCCCAAGCAGTGCAGCAGCCGGCATGCAAGGCCCAGTTTAAGTAGCCAAGTCCCAGGACCCAGAATGCTATGGTTCTGCACCCCTTTTTGGATTGGCCTGAGGGTAGTGTGATGTGATGCAGCCTTATAAGTACTAGCATGGCTTGCCCCTGTATGCGCGCCGCGGCTTTTTTGTCAGCCTCTTGGGCCTATTAAGAAGGCTTGACTATTATGGGTAAGGCTTGAAGGCTTACTAGTTATTAGAGCAGAGCTTGAAGCCACAAGGTCATGAGAGAAAACACTTGAAATTATTGGAAGGCCACAGACCACCAGTCAAAATTCCTGGTTCCAACCCGGTTTTAAGATCTGCGGCCGCAATGCGGCCCAGCGCACAGACCGGTGCTTCTGTGGCTTCAAGGTCGAGCTCGACTTCTAACGCGTTCTGGAATCCCTACAACCACCCGAGTGAGACAAGCAGCAGATCCAGCTGTGAGGGCGATGAGTTTTCGAGGACCTACCTCCCTGCAGAGGAAGTGAGGCAGCTGGAAGATCCAGGTGCAGAAGAGCCACCACCTGGAGGATTCCTGTGCCCGGATGGTGGCTATTTCAGCGGGCATTTACCCGATAACAGTGAAGACGAGGAGGTGGAGGAGCCACTAGACAAGGGATTGCAGCAAAATCCATACCCGAAGGTCGAGGACAAGCTTGGCCGTGAGGGTCTTGGTGCACGCATCAAGGATGTCGGGGTGCAGCACTCCCAGCCACCACGCAATCCTGGCGGCAATCCCGGTGAAGTGAGCCCACCCATGCCAGCCATGCCATGCACCCCCGGTCGTGTTTCCGGAATGTCGAGGGAGAAGAGAAGCCGCACCTGGCAAAAGCCATTACCCCCGGGAGCTGTGAAGCCGGACGAGTCGAACGATGCAAGTGCCGCGTTCCAGTCCGGACGATGACACTCCCATACTGTCCATCCTCTTCCGCTGTCCATGTATTATAGATAGCGGAAATAGATTGCAGAAGCAACGAAGGCTGCGTATCTGTGGACCACCTGTACAAATCTGCAAATTACCCTTACCGAAATCAGACAAAAAAAGGAGCCAATGAGTGTTGCGCATTGTCAGGTTGTTGCAACGTTGACATGCTCGGAATCGAAACTTGCTTCCACACCATCGCCACTTTGCACGGGCGCAGCGGTCAGCTGGGTTTTTCTGGTGTATGGTACAGCAACATATTCAGCAACCTCAGCCCGATGGTCAGGTTGTGACGTCGAGTGTAAAACCTCCAGTTGCCAGATGTGAGCCTTGAGCGTGGCTCGCCAGCATGATGCAGCCTGACAAGGCAACAGGCTTGCACCAGGTGTGAGGGCGGATGCTTGCGCAGGCTGTCGGGAAGGTGAACTGGGCCTCGATGAGCAGGGCAGCGCGCCACTCGCTCGGATGATGCCAAAGGCTTTCGAACCATCCCTCGACCCTTGTGGACCCTTGAAGGTTTGACGTGAAGACTGACGGGCTCATCCGGCTCACTCCCTCGAAATGGATTCTGAGGGGCCTCTGTGCAATGCGGGGCTCCCAGGCAGCCTGTGACGAGAAGCCAACTTTATGCTGTCGAGTATAGAGGGTGCCTCTACGACAGCAGTTTATAGCACCGAGCTTCGCAGCCCCGCAGGCCTGGGTGATCGGGTGATGCTCTCTGCTTTCAGCACCGACAGGACACCAATGGGGAAGCACAAAGCGGCACAAAGCGGGGGGTAAGAGGGGACGTCGCTGGGACGACGGGAGACTGTGCCAAGCTTGGAGACCTCTCGTTTTTGTTGAAGTTTTTGATGTCTTTTATGTCGTGTGAATTGCGAGGAATGCGAGAAGAGGCGGCGCGGAAGACGCTGGACGTTGGAGGGCTTGACTGCACCCTGGCGAACAAGCCAAAGCCAGTTTCGAATCATGGTTTTTGTTTACCCCTTCCGACTGCAAGGTGCATTTCTCGGGGCAAGGCTTTCTGCGAAGACAGCAGGGACAGAAAAAGGATCCAGCGCACACCGAGCCGTTGATTTGCCACAGCAGAAGCGATTGTGTTCCGTTGCGTGTGTCTGTACAGAGATTGGGCAAGTCTTGCTATTTCAGGCCGGCCTTGAATGCCAGCCTGCCTGGCGCGAGCGCCTCAGCTTCTCGAGCAGAGCGTCCTCCTCCTCAGCGTCACCAAATGTCGGATGTTTTGCGCTTACAATTGCAGACGAAGGTCGAGATGCTGTGGGGGTTTGAGCCTTAGTCTGGCTTGTATCTCCTCAGCGTTATGCTCGCTACTAATTACTCCTGCCGCAGAGTTCTTATGCACCTTGTCGTACATAGCAGCTCTTTGTGCTCGGTTTGTCTTTTTCGAATTCTTCTCGTCCCTTCACCAGAAAGGTTGCTCTGGTTCAAAAACGTGAGAAGAAATCATGGACCCGAGGCTATCACGATGGCCTTCCGTGCTGTTGCTCCAGGACACACCCTGAGTTTGCATGCCTACGGTTTCTTTGCGGGCACCTGAATTAAAAACAGGACAAAGGAGGGGCCGTAGTAGAATGCGGACCCCAAAACAAAACAAAACGCGCCTACACGTTCACTTGGCTACACTTCATATGCACATTTCAGCCCAGTGGGCATTCATGGAGAGCATTGATTGCATGGATGACCTTGATGTCACTTTGCTTTTTCCTAGTAGCTAGAGCAGATAGGCGTGATAGCGCTGTTTAGTTGGAGAACTGACCATATGCTAAAATCACAACTCCTTTCAGCTGAACAGTGCCGCGCAAAATCACTGCAGATTTGGGTGACCTGCATCCTGTGTTGGTCTTCGAAATCGTCTGCCTAGTGTCTGTGGGCATACAGATACCACCAGGCACGAAGCTCAAGATCACTTGCAATATATGCAAATATACATACATACATACATGTGTATATAAATAAATAAATATAAACAGAAATATAGATATAAATACAATTATAAATAAATAAGTACATACAGAAATAAATATATACGTATATTGACATGTACAACACGGATAGCCGCAACCATTGTATTTTTAGCAACCCCACTATATTGTGAATATATGGAAGCATTAAACCAACATTTCCCCTCTGTGAGACTTACCAAACCATCCTTTTTTCCCCCGATGGCATGCGTTAACGGGTTGTCCATGGGTGGAAACGACTGATTCAATGGTTCGGTCGGGATCCAAGATACCTCGGGCAAGGCCCTCCAGCAATCTTGGATCTTGGATCCGGGCCCTGATTGCATTCAATGGGTTCACATGAGATTTCCATCGGGATCCCAACATGCTCTTCTGGAAATCTTGGGCGCGTGTGAAATGAGAGATGTTGACGGTGACTGATAGGTTTTGGGAGTTAAGGTGACACTGAAGGTGGGTTTTGGGAGTATGTACAAATGCATATATGGTCCGGGGCAGGTCCACCCCCTCCCGACACCCACCCACCTCTCACACCACCCTCCCCGGTTTGGGTTCAGGGCTTTCGGATTCAGAGTCCCGGCATGGTGGGCACGCAGGGTTTTCGGGTTGTTCATGTGGAATTGACGGTTTAGGGCCTGGATGTGAAGTACAGGAGGCTGGGGATGAGGGCATGTGCACTGAAGCCCCTTCTTAGGAAAAAGGTTTGATTCGGGTTGGTGACAAAGAGGGGTTCAGGGAGGCTGCCATCCTCGTAACTGGCGGCACTATTGGAACGCGAAGATCAGGAGCCCGGGATCAAAAATTGCTTGTTCGTTGCGATCTTCAGGAGGCGACATGTTCCTCCAGCTTCCTAGCCTGTTCACGCGCTTCACCGCGGGAGTGTGCTGGCTGAGTTTGCGACTGTGTCTGGTCTGGCAGCTTTGCACGGGTCGTATAGCATCTATCTCTCAGTGCTCACAAGAGAACCCTGCTGGAGGCTCCCTTTTGTGTTCAGTCAGTTCGTAATTGCGTGCTTTCTGAAAGGGGAGGGGCTTTAAGCTGATTTTTTGTTTAGATGGCTTTAGATGGTACAGGATGGTCAATACAGGTCATACTCTGTCCGTGTGGGCTGCGAACTGGCGGGTAAATTGCCCCGACCTCAAGATGGGCCAGGTCGTGGCTCTTCTTTCCGTCAACTTCGACAGAATAGCCCTCGCTCATGAGACGGCTAGAGCCTGAGCTTGGTAGCCAGGTTTGTGTGCAAGTTATTGGTGGCACAGGTTCAGAAATGCCCGGGGGGGGGGGCTGAGAGGTGTTTTATCGTATCTCGTATCGACACTGAGATCAGCTCCAAGCACGGCTGCACGTGGCTGATATGCAGCTCCTATGTCCTCGACTCGGCTGGAGACACATTGTTGGCTTGCCGTGCCACAACAGGGGCTCTGAAAGTACTTGCAGTCTTGACAGCCGCATGGCAAGCTGCTCCCTTTTTGCACCCATGAGGCAAGGCAAGAAGATCCCTTTAGCCACTTCAAGCTGACTAAATCTGACTAGGAAGACCACTCCCCGGAATGGCATGCACCCGAATGCTGAAGAACGACATGCCCAACTCCCTGAACGAACTGAAAAAGGCTCTGCAGGTGCCAAAGTCTCCGAGCCATTCTCGGCAAAATTCGGCAACTTACAAACTGCTCGAACTGTTGAAGACTGTTGAAGTCAAGTTGCGCCAAGCACGGTGTGCAAAAGCCGCTCAGCAGCAACTTCTGAAGAGCTTAGCCGGCCGGGCGCACTGCGAGCCTCCCATCCTTTCGGGGGTGGTTCCAAATGCAAATCTCGGCCTGGCCTGTTTTGCCGAAGTGGGAGAGCTGTTGGACGACGCTAGGTGGCGGGTGATCAATAGCAGTTGGGCTTTCGAAGCTTCGTGAACGACTTCGTGAACGGATCGCGGTGCCCCGCCGACAGACCACCCCAAAGCCTCATTGCATGCAAGATTCCAGAAGCTGGGATGGCCTCAAATGAGCGCCTTGCCCTATAAACACCCTTGAACCCCAGCCAAGTTCTTTAGTCCTTAATCGTAGGATATCGTAGTTCTTGTGGGTTTAAAGGGGTTATGGGCTTACGGACAGGCCTGTCGAAGAATTCATGGTTGAAAAAGACCAGGTGGGCATGATCGCAGTGGTACTGTAATGTTTCGTTTGAACAGAACCTGCGGTCATTATTCATGTGGGGCTCATGGCGAGTGTGAGCTGTGAGATGCCGTCAGGCAAAACTTTGGAGTTTTTCGAGGGATGCTAAAAATATCTGTTGCGCTATTGAACTGCAGCTTCCAACTTGGTCTTGTGGCAAAACGGCTGGCGTCAATGTCTTATCGGTTGTCCTGTATGTCTCAGGGCTTTCGCAACAGCTTGCTGGTTTTCGTGCTGTCCGCACGTGCTTCACATCTCTTGCAGGTTCCATGCAGATCATGCTAGCCCTGCCTGCAGTCTGTCACAATCACCTCAAGTGAGTGCAGGTATGCGACCTGAAGGCCAACCAAGCAGTAGGTGTTTAGGAAACAGGCACTCCCGCACAGCAAAACGACAGCTTACATTAATACAGGATCCGGTTAAGACCACCATCTGCAACAGATGGCGCACATCCCAGAGTCTCCGAGTGAGACCTCGGAGACCATTGAGACAGGTCCACAAACGGTCTCTGAGACCATTGAGACAGGTCCACAAACGGTCTCTGATGGACTTGAAGAAAACAGAGACGATGAATATGTGATGGCGTCGGCTTCTGCAAGCTTGCCAGAAGAGTCGGCCGAGGCAGAGATGATGGTTGCGGGCGCAGAGACCTCGGCAAATCCGGATGCTGGACCGGACTTGGCGGACCCTTCACCAAAAGCTTTGGAGAGCCAAGAAACTAACTTCATGGTCCCCACAGCCCTGCAGCCAGAGCACAGCAATGCCAGTGAAGTCAGCAAGCTGCTGCTAGTCTCTGACACGGGCTACAGCTATCCACAGTTTGTGGAGCGGTTCAAAGACACGTCTGCCCAGCCGGTCGTCAATGAAGTTCGAGACTTCGTGAACAGATTCCCTGCCAATCTTACTCGTTTACAAGCAGCCCGTCGCATCCACGCCTTCCTGGCCGAGGTCACTCCGAAGCTTCTTGCAGCCCAGGCTTTCCGCGATGGCGAACAAAGCGGGCAAAACGCATCGGAGTTAGCGAATGAAGGCCTTGAGAAATTTGTTGTTCTCAAACTCTACAAGTTGCTCTACCGCCATGATCCCGCGGATATCCGCGAGGACGAGCGAGTGGAACAGGCCCTCCGTGCCGGTGTCGGCAAAGGTGCTAACACGATTCAAGCAGCAGTCTCCAAGTTCGATGCGAAGCAGCTCGAGGTTTTTGATGCTGCAGCTCTGGAACTGCGCCAAGTGGAGCAATACAGAGCGCCAAGAGATAAGCTGAGCTGCTTTGTAAATGCGATCCGGCTTGTGGAAAGCATTGTCGTGGAGCGCGTCTTCCGACAAAAGGGGGATGCGGGCCAACAATCGACCTGGGAGCAGCTGTTGGCTGCACTCATTCTGAAAGCCTCGCCCCCAAATCTGTATTCCAACCTTGAGTTTACAGCGGCTTTCAGGCACCCATCACGCATGAGCCATGACGAAGGGAAGGCCTTGGGCGACTTAGCATGTGCATTCCTCACAGTTATCGGCGGCAGCAGCCGCCGTCTCAGCTCTGCTAAACTTGCCGAGAACTCCACTGATTCTGGAGATGGCTTGCCTTTATGGCTGATGGATGCCGGAGTCACGTTCAATTTTTCGGATCGCTCTGCAGACGACTTATCAATTGGGGAGGTGGATGAGCTACTGGATGAATACCAAAAGATGATCCGAGCACTAAGAGACCTCGTTGGGCCTCAGGCCCAAAAGACCGCATGACATTTGCGAGCAAAACGAGTTGTGAGTCTTGGAGCCACGAGTGCTGTTTTTACAGTTGTTCGCTTGTGCGCAGCCGCTGTGCTTCGGCTGGTCTCAGGTTGCGGGCAACAAAGGCCGGCAATGGCTGGCCGAGAGAGTTTGCTATGTCAGTGGTTAGTCGATGTGTGTCACTCCGCGATTGACTTATGCAGAAGCCAGGAGCGCATGCCACGGAGGCTTTGCTGGCTCATTTGTGGCCTGGCCCCCGTCAGCAAAGAAGGCGGCAAGTGGTGTTTCCAGCTTTTCGAGCAGAAGTTGGTGGAGGTCTAAGCTGCGAGGCCTCCCCGAGGGAATGTCCATTGCTCAGGCGCCATGAACTCATTGAAGCGAGCGCATAGTCTGCAAAGGCTTACGCCTTTGCTGGGCAAGCGTGAAGATGGCCCCTTGGGCTTTGGGGGCTGAGGGATGGAGCTTCAGCTCATGCCAGGTCATGCCCGAGAGTGTCCTCTGCCGTGATGGGCTACGAAGGCCGGGCTGCTTTTTTGATGTGTACATGTTTGTGCCACGAAGCAGATCGTGTGGCTGAACAGCTTGAGGGAATCTGAGGCTGTTCACCTTTCGCCACTTCCTCATGCCTCAAGCGAGGGTCACCTGCCTTGCCGGGTCAGACTCTACAATGACTGACATGCGTACCACGATGCGAGTACGTCCATTCAAGTGACCCAAAATAGAACCAAATGAACAAATGGACTGGCAATGAGCGAACCAAAGGCGGCGCGGAACCAAGACTGGCATTGGCATGTGGTGCATCCCCTTTTTCCTTGTCGGCAAATCTGCATGACTTTCCCACACCTACCTTCGTCCTATGAGCCTGGAGCCCTTGTAATAAAGCTTCGCGCTAAACCCAGACGAACCAGCCGAATAACTTGCGCTGTAGAAACTTTCGGCCATGGCAAACATTCTGCCACTCAAGACTCGAAAGCTCACGTACGTGTTCGAATGTCCGAGGTTCATTGGTGTACAAGGTCGTGGCTGAAAGGCCTTTCGCAGCTCTGCATGCCTGAGAAAAGTGCTTGGGCAATCGTGGCCGTTTGACCCTTTCCTAGTACGACGCGCCACCATAAATCACCCCAACTTCACGCGTTTGGCGGCTGAGCTGCTGGGCCCATGTCAGATCATCGCTGGCTTCGTCCTCAAACTCTCTTGCTTTCGACTCGGGCTCAAGCGGTTGGCCCGCTATTGCCCTTGAACAGGGCAACTCAGGGCACAGAAAATTGCAAAAGTGCATTGCGCACCCTGTGGGGCTCGTTCCGATTGCGCTGCGGGGACATGAGCGATTCGCCGATGCGCAAGAGCGCTTCGAAAGAAGCTGCTGAGAGTATGGTTCTTCGTTTGAGATTCAGTGAAGAACGTACTCGGGATGCATAAATGGGTGAGTTTGGATGGCCCTGCGTCATGTGAGTGCTTCTTGCTGACAACTTCCAGATACATCACGAACTTCAACAATGCCGTGTTGGATGCAGAGTTGGCTTGCGCGTCCCTGCTACGGACTCAGCCATTGCTGTTGCCCTGTCGATAGCTTGTGCCGACTGCATCACGGCTGAAGTTGCCCGTGTCTCGGTTCCTGTTGCTACCTGGACTTTGGCAAACAAGGTCCCCTGATGCCGATGCAGCTGGGAATGCCGATTCCGAGAGAGGCTTGCAGCAGTCTCGCAAGCAGCGCACAGTGCCGCAGGCTTTGCCAAAAGGCCTATTACCTTGATGACCTATTAAGGTTTCTGAGCACGTGAAGTCCCCTTGTGAGGCAACTATCTTCGCCAGCTGACCCGGCTGGGCCTGAAGCTCCGGCCTTGTTTTGCAAGCGCTGAGGCTTTGAAGGCAGTATCGACGGAGCACCGAATCGTGAGAACGGGGACAGATTGCTGGGCAGCAAGGCGTGTTCATGGCAGCTTGTCGGCTCAAGCGTGGCCAGTGAAGGGAGCTTTGGCCACCACCAGAGTGCAGGCATATGTGTGGGTTTCTGTTCCATGGATTCATTCGTAAAAAAAACGGACGGTCGGACGGTCACGAAAAACAGCCTTTGAAGCTGCTTTCGGTTGCTTGTTCCCCCAGAATGCACCCAAAGAGCCACCCCCAACCCCCCCCCCCCCCGCCTTCCAGCCTCATGCTTCGTTTTGAAGGAGTTGTTGACATGCAGCCTGCAGTGACGTCGTCGGCAAGGTCTGTGCATGTGGCTGGGCTAACTTCTCTTAGCAGGCTTTGCTACAGGAGTCGCCCACGGCCGAGGTAGAAGCATCGCACAGGGCCCGGAGTGCACTGACGTCGGTGACAGCTGCCGTGCCATCTCCAAAGCAAGCCGGCTGCGGCTGGAATGGACCGCTGACCTTGGGACTACTAGGCAAGCTGCACGTTGTTGGCGCGTGTCAGCTTGCATTCTGACACAGCAATACTAGAGCTCCTTGACTCGTTCTAGCATGCCTTCACGAGTGTAATGACGGTCCGAGACGAGGCACAGAGATGGTACGTAGTTCGAGTGTTGAATTAATGGCACAAATTCAGGATAAGACATGCATACCGATCACTGTCAACCAAAAGGCAAGAGCCAAACTACGACACCATCTTGATTGAAATCAGGTCTTTGTGGTCCATGCACGAGATTTCATATGACTAGGCGCCATTTGCAAGTAGACTAGATGGCGTTGTCTTCACCCGTGCTTCTGATTCAGTGGGCAGAATTTCCACCACGATAAAGTTGAGCAGATTTATTTGCGCGAGCTTCCATGCGCATAAAAGGCAGCAGTTGGTGGTCAATCCTCAGCACCCCCAAATTCCAAATCAGTTTGTGCCTGTTTGATCCAAAGAGGCGGCCTGGCCTTGGCTCCAGGATTGGCCCCACGCCGGCCGCGGAGGACGGCCGTAGTTCCTCGTCCCGTTCGGCGCATGAAGGCATGTTATGTGAAGAAAGCGTGTGTGTGTGTGTGTGTGTGTGTGTGTGTGTGTGTGTGTGTGTGTGTGTGTGTGTGTGTGTGTGTGTGTGTGTGTGTGTGTGTGTGTGTGTGTGTGTGTGTGTGTGTGTGTGTGTGTGTGTGTGTGTGTGTTGGTCTTGAGCCCACATAGTCCACGTACAAGCATGCGTCAGGGGCACGGTTACAGATGTAAGGAAGAGTTATGTTGTGCACGTGCCAAGGTTCCGTTGGCAGCAGACCCCAAGGAGGACAATGCCAGTGGATGGGAGCGAAAGTACTTCTAAGACTAGGCTAGCTGAGGTTCTCTCGTCCCTCGTGCGTTGTACTGGGCTATGTTACTGTTTTGCACCCACGTTGCGCTAAGTCACCAAGCCCTTGCTGCACAGGCAAAGCCAAAGCACCCTCCGCCAATTTGCCGAAGGAGTCCAGCACTGGTGGCGAAGAGGTTGCGCCCAAGTCTTCAGATGCCGCTCGCGTCGCCTTAGTGGCGACTCGGAGGTAAAATCTTCAACCGAACTTCAGCCGAATTCAACAAGGTCTGACAAGTCTTTGCCAAGACATCAGAGAGAAACACCAACGCCCAGAGGTGCAGCGCCTCAACGCCGCCGAAACCACGCTCCGGCGCTGGGGCTACGTGGTGTCTCGGTCCAAGGGAGAACTGTGTCTGGAGCTTTGGGTTCTTCGCTGCTGTCGAATGATGAGCCGATTAGTTGGCGGAGCGGAACCCTGCGCTTGACCAAGGCAGAGATCGTCTATACCTGGCTGGGATTGATTTCTCTCTCCGTCGCCAGCTTCGCCGCATATTCCCAAGGAGGTGCGGAAGGAGAGTCTTTCCGCAGATTGATTTTGGACGCCAGCTCGCACAGCTTTGAAACAGCATCGGAATCCAAGCGTGCGAAGATCTTGTTCAGTATTTCTGGCGGAATTCAGAAGGCAAAGCTGGCCCCTTTCAGAACCTTAGTTTACTCGAAGCATCCTGCAGAAGATCCGAAATCCCTGACTTGCCCAGGTCACACAAGTTTTGTGACTCATGACCCCATGCTTTTCCAGCCCTACACTCCCGCTCTCTGAGAAACCGATGCTTGTAGCTTCGACCTTGTGACTCAGACTGCCCTGAAAGTTGAGCCCCTGAATCACTGAACTCCGAAGGCCTCCGAGCATTTCAGAGTTCGATGGGCCTGGGCTTGACCTCCGTGGGCCTCTCCGTTGCTGCTTGTTGCAAGTTCGGTTTGTAGAGGTCATGCAGGGTTTGGAGTCTTGCATTGGGGGGCTTGAGAGTTTGCATGCTGACATGTACGGGGTCCGGACTCTGGAATGTGTTTGCAACAATTAGCCATTGATCCCTGCATGCCCTGACATGCCCAGCTTTAACTTCAACCTTAGCTGAATCGTGAAGCACGTCGAATACTCCGGTTGTTGCCGCACCCTGCTCCCGTGCAAGTGCGAAGAAGTCGAAATCGAAAACGCCACAGGCACGCACGCGCAAGCACAAGCGCAAGCATTGCGTCACCACATGCGGAGGTGTGCTCCTTGATCGGCTGGTTCCAGGCCCGCAGCTGCAGGCCGCTCTGCTCAAGCTCAAGACGTGACACCATGACACTCGAGCTACTCTCGAGCTGCTAGTTTGGCTTGGGTCTGCTTGGGCCTCCTTGGGGCTTGACACAATGGTTCTTGTCTGAGCAGGACTCTGGGCCGGCGGTGCGGCCTCGCTGCCGGGTCGCTGGAGCCCAATGGGCCGGCAACTTTAACAGAATGGGGGGAAAGGGGCAGAAAGGATGGGAGGTTAAGGGCCCTATGTTGCGCTGTAAGACTGGGAGCTGTGATCTTCAGGTACCGCCGGCTGCCCAAATGGCAGCTACGCTGCCTGGCTGAATTCTTGGCCAGACCTCTGTCAGCTCATGCAGGAAACTTCATTGCTCTGAATTCTCGCGATTTTGCTCTGTGGGGTGATTACGGCGTCTTCTCCGTCTTGCCCGCTGCTTCGCTGCCCAGGCGGAGTAAGAAGTGCAAGAAAGAAACGTCTCGTCTGAGTCTTGCGTCTCTGGCTTGTTGTGCTGCTTCACAGCCTATACGAAAGAAGTGCTAGAAGGGCAAAGAGAATTTACGAACTAATGCTCCCCCTGGCTGGCATGCCCAACACTCTTGCAGAACCATTCGCAGCTTCAAAGCAACGACTTGCAGCGACTCGATGCTGTAGGCTGCCTTCGCTTGTCACCATTGAGACAAGCCTGCGCGCACGGCAGCGGACAGCTTGGCTGGGTGCTCTTTTTGCCGTAGTCGGCTTGCAGACTATGGTGGGCCTGATGGTCGGGAAGGCCGGATTGAGGGGGAGTTACAGAGAGGAAGCCAGCGGTAGGCGTCAGTCACGTCGGGAGGAGGAAATCAAAGTAATTGAAGTGGTTGTTCCGCCCGATTATTCACATGTCGCTTGCTTGAGGTGCTGGCAACGTCTGGAGGCTTCTCGCAGTCACCAGGCGCAGGGTGCTTCTGAATATTGTCTTGGCGAGTGTGCGAAGCTACCACTGGCACAATTGAATAGGTTACATTCGCACGTGCCGATTTGTTTGCCAATGCCAATGTTGCCTCTCTTGTGCTTGCGCCTTCAGTTCTCGAGGCATCAACCTGGATGTGTTTACGCTGTTGGCCGTGTCCAACTCTGTGCTGGGTCACGTCCTCGCCGGAGGGATGGCTGCGCTTCAACAAGGCCCGGGGTTTCTCAGTTGTTCGAAGTCTTTCCCTTCGTGTTTCGAGGAAGTGCGCCTCGGCTTGCTCCATCCGTGAATTAGACTACTCGTGTGGCCTTCTCTCCTTTTTCATATCTTTTCCATCCTATGCCTATGCCATTGCCTACTGACTTGAACGCAACGCGGCCCGCGCTGGGTGGGGCCCGTGGCAACCTCTGTTTTCAGAAGCTTACTCCATGTGGTTCCAAGGATTTGGGTGTCCTCCAAGGAAGCCTGTGGAAGGTGTCGAAACGGGGAAAAGATCCCTAGGAACCCTCTCGACCTCAAAACTTATCAGAAATCTTTCCAAGGGCCCTAATCGATGTCAAGGCGGTTGCCCCTACCGGAAAGGATAGGAATTCAGAATGAGTCTGGGAGCAGAAAACACCCTTGGCTTCATGCGCTACCCTTTCACCATCTTTCCACCTAAAACAGCAACGCTCGTCAACCGCCTCAGTCCACGCGGAGTGACATGGATCATGTCCGCTGTCGGGTGGCAAAAAAAGCGCTAAGACTACGGTGCGAATGAGAGTTGTGGTTCACGAGATGAGAAAAGATGGGACTTTTTCGGCAAAACCACGGAGCCTCTGAGCCTGTCCACCAACTTCCATTTCACAGGTTCGCTTCCGCAACCCTCCAGCTCCGACGACCCCTTCCAGGGCTGGACTCGATGAGGCCAAGAGGGGCCAAGGCTCCTTATGGAGACAAGCTGACAGCCTGCCAAGGAAGCCTCATGAGCCTCTAAGAGGTTAGAGGCAGCAGGCGAGTCACCGATTCTTAAGGGTTCCTATGTGGGTGCTGAGTCGCCCGAGTCGGATCGAGCACTTGCTGCGCCTGTGTCGCCATTCTGGCAGGAGTCTGGAGACTGGGGCCTCGCTAGCCTCGTGGACCAGAAAGTCTGAGAAAGCATGGCGAAAGCATCGCATCTGACCGGCTTTGCCGGGCTTAGGGATTTAAGATCTTCCGAATCTGTGGCCGCTTCAGCGAAGCCAGCCCTACAGGGAGTGCAGTTCAGTTGTTTTCTGTGGCGTGACCAGGTGTCATGACAACGATTCGTACGAGTGATGGTGTTTCATAGTGGAGGCACAGCCTTTCCGGGCACGTGACTATAGTATGGCGGCCTTTTGAATTGCGGAAGCAGGAAGTGCGGCAACGGCAGCAAACATTGATTTACGCCAACGGAGCGAAAACATTGGAAAATACCCACAGGGTTCGAGCTGCTCTGCTTGCGAAGAGCGAGCTGCGCTGTCATGGACTTTGTTACGGATGCACGCAGTTCGCAAGTCTCCATAGATCCTGGAAAAGCTGCAGACTGGGATGGACTTTCTTGCAACCTTCGACCATTAGGAATCACTAGGAGGTAGAAGCATGAAGGACATCATTTGTCATTGCTAAGAACTGGGTGCACAACCTGGGGAAAAAGCAAACGCCACCCGAATACATCGATCAAAAGTTCATGTCCGCATTTTCGACTGCGAGTCCAAGGCTTTTGGCTTATGACCATCCACATGCATCATAAACTAACCATCCCCGAATTGGCAATAAAGTCGGAGCGGAACACCAGGTCAAGGAGCCATGTGCCCTCTGCGATTTGACCCGTTAGTAGGTCTCCAGTAAGTGGAGGTTGAGATTCCGAGACCGCGGGTGAAGAGGACCATTTGTCATCTGACGAGCCTTTAAGTGGAGAATGCTTGCTTTCTGGTGGGATTTTGTGTTTTGTGGACGCCATTCTGTTCACCAGCTTGCATGCCCAGCACAGAACATCGTTTTCCAGCAACATGCAGCCGGCGCGTACCGCGTCGAGACGCAGCTGGAGCCATGCTGCGCTGCCTTTCTGGGGCGCTGGTGGCGCCTTCAATGGCGCTCTACGAAAGCCCTCTGCGATACTACCTGATCGTGGAAGCTTTGCTGATGTGGAAGCTTCGGACTTGTCCTGCAGCGATCATACCAGAACAAGGCAGTAGAAGGCTTTGAACGGGGGCCCTGAGACCTGTGTGACCTTGAGCCCTAGTCACTCTGAATCTATTCTCTTCACAACGCGAAGGATGCCCAGGCCGACATCAGAGACCTGGAATTGGGAGACCTCGCCGACATGGAATCTGATGTGCCGCGGCACTGATCCGAGTTCTTGTGTGTCGCAGGAAAGATTCGCCCTCACTGATGCGCACTAGTCCTCAATCATGGCTGCTGTCCCTTTCCCTTTCGTTGAAGGTGCCAGTTGCCTTCCTGCAGCATTTGCGAGAAGAGCGCGCTCTTTGGCCTAATTGACTTGCGAGAGCGGTGTGTGAGGTTCGTCCTATGTGGTCCTCTTGAAAGCACTCAGGAGCGCAGGGCTCGGCCCAAGACCCTCTCACCGGAGCAATTCGAGCGCAATCCGGAAGCGTTTTCCACCTCCGCCGGAGCTGCTTCGATGTCGAATCTCAGCCCAACAAGCATGGAAGGGCAGAAGGCTGTCAATGGAGTCAATGCTGCGGACTGCTAAGTGCGCATCTCAGGTTTGCCACGATGACACCGGAGCCATGGCTGGGCACAGAGGTTGAAGATTGGTACTGGCCTCGGCCTCCTAAGACTCTTCGCATTCCTGGGATCTGAAGTCATGAAATGTCATCGTGGCAACAAGTCGGCAAAGTCGAGCGGGCTGGAGTTGACGGAGTTGTCGACCGTGCTTGTCCGTGCCTTTTTGCAAGCTTCAGCAGAAGCCAGCCCAGGAGTGGACCGAGAAGCAAGGTACCCTGGCACAGACGGCTAGTCCGACATATCTGCGACGTTTGTTTTTTGTTTTTTCCATTTTTACGAGGTCGCATGTTCGATTCGAGGCTGATAGACTAGCGCTCTGAGGTAGAGTTGGCACAGATCGGCTAGCGCGGCTTTGGGCCACCATGCTGGAAACGGCCGGCCTGACAGCCGAAGTCTTCGCCGTGGCTCAGCTCAAAGCCAGTTTGTGCCTTCGCACTTCTTCATGCCAGATAGCAACACAGAGGAGAAGAGTGATGACTTCAGGTCGATCCTGGGCAGATAGTCTTTGCAACGCACAGGACAGGGACGTGGCATCGTCTCTGTGCTCTTAGCCAGCTGGCTTTGCCATATTGCTGCAGGAAGGACGAAGTCGACACTATCGAGAAGACCCTTGTCGAGAATCTTTGTTGTTTGGCATTGTCACCCTCTCGCAGCCAGCGCGAGCCACCCTCAGTTTGCAAACGCTGCCGGCTCCTCCGGCCGTGAACGACCTACGCCTTCGCTCTCTTTGAGCGTTGGTGCACCCCCCTCGGCTTCAAGCTTTCGGGTCTAATCGCATCCGCCCATGCGTTTCTCTGCAAAAGTTCACTGAACTCATATTCCTTTTTCGTTCCTTTCATTCCTAGTATTCCTTCGTGGGGGCCAATCTTCCTCCAGGCTTTTCAAAGCGACTCCTTGGCCCTCCGAGCCAGCAGCGTCTTTTGACTGCTCAGCTTTAACATATCAAGCGTCAAGGTTTGCGAGCAGGCTGCCCAAACATGCTCGGACTCAGGTTTGCGCACGGCAAAGAGAGAGAGCGAGCAAATCAGAAGGTGAAACTCAGGGTGATCGGACCTTGAACAGGACGCGCATGTTTGCGATATCGTCGTGGAATCTTGCAAACGCAAGCGAAGCGTACTCAGGCTCACGGTCGGAGAAGGTTTGGAGGCGCGTGGCGTTTCCTCCGGATGCAAGCTCACAACCAGTCATGCGTGATCACACTCCATGCAAAAAAAACACATGCAAGAACCTTGGGAAGAAAGTTGCCGGAAGCACATTCTCAGTTCTCACTATGAACAGTATGGTTAAACGCCCAGGTTTGTCCTCGCCCAGGAGGATGTTGACTTCTTCGAGTTTAACCAGCAGCGCCTTGGCTCTCAGCATTCGGGTCAGAAAGAGTTCTACCTGGACTGGCCAGTCACCTTTGTCTTCAACCTGTATGGTGCCGCATGGCCTTGTTTCATGCACCCGAACAGGAAGCTTGAAAGATCCTAAAAGACACGTGTAGTACTCCCAGCATACTCTGTATGAGTCGCCATATGAGTCTGTAGCCATCCTTGAGATCTGCCCAGGCGCCGCTTCCCAGGCGGACGGAACGAGGCCCTGGCCACCGAGCCTTAGCAAGGATTGGACTGGTTGGGCTAGTTGGGCTCTAACTTGGGCTCCATTTCCTGACAGAGAGTGAGCATGGGAGTGTTCCCTGCGCGGACGGCAGTTTGAAGCAGTACCGCATGCCGACATCATCAACAAATGGCAGCCGCCCTTTTCCAAGGAAAAGCCAGCCGGCACGCAACTTTCCTGCACGCCAGCATTTGGAACGTGTTACGCTTCAGTGGTTTCTTCTGATTTCTTGTCGCTCCGATACTCCATCAGCTTTCTTTCGGAACTTTTTCGCCCCGCCGCACTTCCCGCCAGTTAAACTCTTAGTTTTCTGTGCATCCGCCTCGGCTGCAAGGCCTTTAAATTGAGGAGCGTTCCCAGCACATGCAGTACAGGGTGGAATCGGGTGCGGCTGTGGTACCACGGTGTTCACAGAAAACAGAAAGCCACCCTGCAGCTGCAGGAACATCAGAGTAGCTCTCTGTCGCGCGATATGTCCCCTGCAGCACATTAAGCACATGAAGACTGGAGGGCACCTCAGGCACCTTTCTAGTGACGCTAGTGACGGGCTTTGGTGAGGCCATGAGCCGAAGCTGTCCCTTCCACAACAGCTGCGCGAAGGAGAGAGGCATCAACAACAACTTTTCAAGAATCAAGGTGGCTTTAACACGATGTCGTGCTGTTTCCCGGCGCATCAAGAGTCAGCTGTCGAATCACAACGGCGTAGGGACCCAAAGTTGTACAGAATCTACACGACTTTACTAAATTCCGTCAGCTTTCGTCTTCAGGTGCCCAAGTTACCGATTTGGCTTCTGGGTCCTGGGTGTTTCCTCCTTGTTGGCTTGGTCATCTTCATAAGGCCACGAGGTCTTCATCGTATGTGTGACGGCCGCCTCCATGCGGCCTTGACATTCAAAAAGCACGCAGGTTTCCAAACTTGAGCACGCTGCGCGGAGGCACAATTCGGAAATTTAGCACCCTTCCTTTGAGACAGGAGCTCGATCCAGGCTGACGGGTCTCATCTGGCCACCTCTCGTCCAAGCATGCGCATGATCAAACATGCATGGAGAGGATGATGAGGCCCCAGATGCTGCTTAGTGGACCTTGTGTGAGATTTCTTTGACCCATGATGCTCAAAGTTGTGCCAGTCTATTTGGGGATCTGAATTGCTTTGGAGTTAGACTGCCCGGCTGCCCATGCCCCAACCGCCCCAACCGCATGCAGTTTAAATTGTGTTTCTTGCAGCCTCTTGGATTGTTGGCCTCGTCATGTTGGATCTTCTGCGCCTCCCTACAATGCACACGCCTTGTGCCGCGGACGCTCATGCAATTCAATATCCAAGATGCCATTTCGAAGGTCAGCTTGTCTGCGTTTTTGCTGCAAACGTGATCATGGTGTTCAATGTGTTCTTGATTCTTGTCTCCATCTCAGGCCTTCACGGAAAGCTGCTCACAGCAAAGGTTTCCAGCGCGCACGACGCGGAAAATGTGCTTGGCGGATTCTCATGGCATGGAGTGCATAGCATGGAGCAGCACGTTCTACACACAAACAAACCATGTGAGTGCAAGTCGCTCATGCGGAGCATGCCGAGGCAGTATTTGTATTGCGGCCCCACGCACCGAGCACTTGCAGTGGGCTGAGAAATAAATTGACAATAAGAGGCGAGTGTTCTTGGCAGCTCCTAGCGGCTCCGCAGTCTGCGTGGGTGTACCGTTACAAACATGCCAGGTGGGCGTCTACTTTGGGACGCAGAAGCCTGAGAGTTTCAGATGAGCTGCTCAGTGCATCGGCTCGCAACAAGCAGCGGGCAAGCAAGGTTCGACCCTTTGCATGAGAACCACTTCCGGCTGGTGCTTTGTGCAGGGAACCCTGGTGTGCCAGCAGGATGAGCATTTTGCAGCAGCTGCTTTGGTCTTAAAAGTCTTGAAGCGAGGCTTTGAGGCGATGCGGGGCTTGCCGTGTGGTGCCCCGGCCATAGCTGTTCTTAGAAGGTTAGAACCTGAGTGGCTTGTCTTGTCACGACCCGAAGTACCTTTTTGTTGGCCGAGGCTGGTACCAAATCAAGGAAGCCCAGCCCTTATCGTAGGATTAACTTGGAGTGACTGACTATAACAAGCACCTCAACGGCTCAGTTTACCTGAATGGTCGGGTGCGACCATAACCCCATGGGATGCGGTGCGACATACTGTGCCCAAGGCAATCCTTACAAACCAAGCTGCTCTCCGCTGTCGGAGCGCATTCATTGCATCGAGGTGCACGCTGCATGTAAATGCTCACGTTTTCTGTATCGAGAGAGAGAGAGAGACATACTTAGGCGGTCTTAAGCTGTCTTCGGCTTGCAAGTGGGTTCTTGGCAAAGCTTGGCAGCGCGGCTTTGGCAGTTCATGGTGGGCTTTGGCAGGAGCGACTCAAAGCGGCAGAGGCAGCGCACGACATCGAGCCAGGACATGCGAGAGAAGGGACAAGTTGAGGGACCTTCGTTACTTGCGACAGGCTTGCCTAGGGTTTTGGGGATCTGACGGAATCTGACGGCATGGCTTTTTGCATTCTTGCTGCCCTGAAAGGAGAGGTCGTCGTACGGGCAGAGGCTGGTGCGAACAACTGGCCCCAGCGCCCCTAGGCTGCCTCATAATGATTGTTGCCAGTCAACATTCTCCGAGAAGATGCAAGTGCGCCTCATTTCTGGTATCCCTCTGCCTGCCATACCGACCGATAGAATTAAGCTGTCATCTTGAAGTTTTCGGGACGTGACCGAGCCCCGCATAGCACGTGTTTGTGCTTGATGGTTTGAGGCGAAAGGGTGGCACAGGAATTGGAGCTCCATGAGCTGGCAGAGAGTAGAGCTCGAATCCTAGACGGAGGCTGCGATCTGCGATCAGAACATGTGGTAGGTCCCTGGTAGGTGCAGGTTTGCGCCAGAGAAGATGCAGAGAAGCCAAATCTGAGGCCTCCGCGACGGTTGTTCTGCTGCTGGGAGAGGTGCGCTGCTTATTGTCAATAGAGTTGTTTTCGAGGACATCCTTGACGAAACCTGGGCTACTTGTTCTCAGGATTCGTTCCTGAAATCGTTGAAGCAGGTCCGTGCCTCAGAGGCCCGCAGAGGCCCCAACGACTACCTGATCCCTCCAAGCAATCATCTCCAAAATTGTTATCCCCGTAGCATGCTGACCCAAGTTGCAAGAAGGGTGGACGAGGATATTTCCAGCGGATCCCAGTGTGGCAGCATAAGAAGCGGAAACCCTTCCCGGTCAAGCTTCAAGAGGGCTGCAGCGCATAGCGCCCGGGGACCCGCAATCCCAACAGCCGAAAGCCGGAGTTTACCTCATGTTGAATCTAAAGGATTTCAAGGATCACCCTAGTCTGCAGACGGCGCAGCGAGGCTTCAGGCAAGCACCGGAACTCCGGCATATTCCAGCTGCAGACGAAGCCGCGCCGGCTCATCGTTCCTTGCGGGATATGAAGTTATTCAGACTGCGGTCTCTGTTATGCAGCGGGGCCTTTCTTTGAGACGGTCAGATGCCAGCTTCCTAAGGTTTTCCCTCGTGCACAAGATGAGTCGGCCATTCTGCAGATGGTGCCGGAGAAGCTCAGGGCTTGGGTGCAGGCACCGCAATGCCAGTCAGCTTGGGCTCGAAGTGCTGCAGCACCAGGGACCATCTTGCTGCACACAGTCACTGTGCAGCAGTTGCTGTATACCATGTGGCAGGTGGCGCCATATCGGGATTTGGTGGAGGGTTTGAGTTCCTCGCAAGCCTTCCCTGGTTGACCTGAGCGTTGCCACCATGAGCATTAGCCTTGACATTGAACAAGCAGCTGCCAGGAAAATCCGCAGCTGGCTGAAGTCTGGTGGCAAGGCGAGAGCTGCGAAAGGTGGACTTCGGATACATGTAGGGTGTGCCACTGACAACTGCTGAAGGTTCCCCCGAGCACTGTGCACCCGGTGGTTTGGAATCGCTTGCTGCAGGCGGGATGTTGAAAGTCAGACGTGCTCCGGCAACGACTGGCAAGCATACCCTCATGCAACGTCAGCTGTGATGACAGGAAGAGCGCAGCTGGGACATGCAGGACAGCGATGGGAGGTCTCGACTCCCCCCCCAGGCTTCTCACCCAAAGCACTTGTGGCAAGCAGCCTCCGACAAGTTCACAGCCGACCTGTGGAAAAACTAAGCTTCGGATTGTACTTTCGCCTCAACTCTGCATCTCTCACTTCTCCCTTCTGCTAGGAGGACTTAGAAGACGACTTCAGCGATGAGTCGGGCCAGGTTCATTGTTCTTCGCTGCACCGCCTTTGTTCAATCCTCTTGAAAGCAGAAGCCTGAGCTGCCGGGGCAGGCGTCGATTGCAGAAGGAGGCCCCTGAGACCGGGACCTTTATGCACCAGCGCGTCCTGTTGCGATGCCGCAGGCGCTGTGTGCCAAGACCCACGCACGCACTATGACGCGATGGCGCCGCAGTGGCTCTTCAGAGAAGCCTGTGAATTGAGACTAAGGCCGTGGCACGGTTTAACAGTTTAACATCACGAGTTCGGAATATGTGCGCTAAGAGAGCAACAGTGCCACTGGAGAAGGGCTACCATCTGAGGTCCATGGAACAGAGGCTGTCGTCACCGACGGTACGGCTGAGGAACTTTAATTCCTTTGCCAAGGCAACAACACAGGGTCAGTAGTGCGCGTCAGGTTTCAAAAATCTCTTTCAATTAACAAGTGGATGCGTTACCCTTGAGGGCTTGACCAGAGAGTTTTCTGTTGCCCACTCCTGATAGTTCTTATGCTACCCCTGACGTTTGCATCAGTCATTGTACCAACGATAAGGTTTGGGAGTTCAACCGACAGCACCTAATGATCTTCGTGTGCTTCTCAGCAGCCAGTTGCAGGCTGGTCTTCTGGAGCAGTTTCTGAGCAAAGTGCTCCGCGAGGCCAGGCAGGTTAGATCTTGGTCCCTGATCCTTGTGCAAGTGCCGAAGTCTTCTGGATTCTTCAGGTTCGCGGGGAGGATCCCCAAATTTCCGTACTGGACCTGGGCTGCGGTGGCCCTGATGCATTGTACGTTACAGTGTGGGTACCCCTTTCGAGGACATGGCGGCTTCAGGGCTGCAGTGTTAGACACTTCCTTCGGTGGCGCCCCGAGCAAGCTTATGCAAAGCGCTAAGCCGCTAAGGCAAAGGGGGAGACTTGAAGAAGCTCGTCAACTCCGGCCAGCCGGCGAAGATTTTATTCCGTTTCTGGGTGCGCCACTGACGACAACAGACGCATTGCACGCAATGCCATTACCGGACTCGGGCCTTTCCCCTAATTGCCGACTTTCTGCGGCTCTGGGAGGCGTGGAGTATCGTAGTGTGAACATTTTTGTTTCAGGATTGGGATAGGACAGGGAGCCAGTCGTGCATGTCGTGCTATGCTGCTTTGCGAGATCCAGAGGTAGATGCGTCGGTGTGGGGTCAGCTTTCAGCATCTAAGTGTAGCCATGGATGAGCGAATTCGGGGGTTTCAGGACATCTCTGGATGCCATGGGATATTTGTCGAAATAACGGTTGATGGGTGTGCATGTGGAGAGTTTGCGGAGAGGTGCCTTCTTGTACGGGTATTAAAGTGTCCCGCACAGAGAGTCGAGGCATGACAGCGTACTGTGGCGTGGACGTGTCCTTCAGCTCGCTCGAGGCCCCCTCGGGTGGATGGGGTGGGGCCCTCATAAACCCGAAACATGTCGACACTGGACTTGTGATTTCGCCTACTACTAACTGCTTGCTGCTTGAGCGACAGCATAAACCCAGCTACCCAAGTAGCCTCCTAGAATAAGGGGTTCCAGCCACCTCCAAGCACACCCGAGACAGGTTCTCGTTCAGCGGTTGCAAGAGCTGGGGCAGAAGCTTGCAAGTGCCAAGCCTCGTCCTGAATGCCAGCACTTGATTTCCATGCATGTGTAGTGTGTGGGACTGACAAACCATACATGCAAGATACTTCATCTTGGCAAATGTTGGAAGGGGTGACAGAATTGCAGAAGCCACCAGAACTACGGCAGTTTGCGACGAGTCTCAAAGACGTCTTTAGATTGTTCTTCCCCAAACTCTCTTCAGTTGCCCCTTGAGGCATGGAGCACTAGGCCGCGCCCGTGACCCGCTTTGGGAGGCAGCCAGTGTAGGGCTCCACCATAGTAGGTTCAACAAGCTGTCCTGCAACTTTCTGGTTTCTCAGGTTGTATGAGCTGCAACGCAGGTCGATTGGTCAGATGTCAGCTCGTTGTTCTCGAAAAGCACTTCAGAATGCCCGATATCATTCTGTTCTGTCGGCGATTGCAGTTCCACACGTGATGGCCACTACGCCACTGCGCACCAGCCCTGAACCCGAAACACAACATTCACGGGAGCAACCCTTCAACGTCTGAAATTACGCAACTCGCACGTCCACAGAAGACTTTCACCTTCATCCGCCAATGTTTCAGCTGTGGCCTGCCCTGGCCTGGCAGGTCTCATTGGTGCATGCAGACTGCTGGCAGCAGCAGTTCCTGGGCGTGCAAATGATTGCCATGCGGTTGCACGACCACCCATGACATCATGACCAAGGTTGGAGTCGGCATGGGACTTGGGCGCCAGGCGTGGGCAGGGCAGCGCCTGCAGATGCCTGCAGCCAGAAATGATACGAGAGAGTTGAAACACAACTGGCAAGGTTGGCTGGGTTCGTGACTGAATTGACCAGTTTGTCAGGCATGGCACAGCTCGTGCACAGCTTGGGAAGACGTGGCTTGCTCCTCACTCGACGCGTTTTCAGGTAGCTAGCGCGTTGAAGATGTTTAAGAGCCTTTGAGATTTTCGCGAGGTTTCATGTGGTCACCTCCCAGATGGCAGCGGGCCGAGTGATTATCGAATTTTGCGCAGAAGGAGCGTTTGGTTGCACGTTTGCTTCGTGTGGGGGGGGGGGGGGGGGAGGGCAGCCACAAAATGTTTGGATTGCTTGGAGACGCTGAGGCGTGCCACTATGCCTTCCATAGCCAGGCGAGGAAGCCATTGAAACCATTCGCGGTCGACCTCTTAGGTTGACGAAAATGATGTCGACCGTGCTTGCATAGGAATCCGTGGAAGTCATGCTACACAATGTGGCACGGCTGCATTCATCAAATGGTTTGGGCGGAATCTTGTTTCATTGTTGAGCAATCAGGGTTTCGTAGAGCATCGGAGAAGGTGTCAACACGTCTTTGTCGCGGTGGATATTTCATCGGCACAGTGCCCAATGCATCAAGGCCGCAAGGGGCAAGTTAGGAGATGTGCAGATTTGCATAACACCCAACTTCCACTACACTAGAATCGAAAGCGGTTTCTTGAGCCCTACAGTTGCGCAGAAAACACATGCTGCACTCCAACCACTGTTTTTTCCTCCCCGCTGGCATGGTCAGAATCATCCAGCTTGAGCGTGCCCGCAGAGAGGCCGCAACCTCAGCATGGAACAGGTTCCCATGCAGAGTTTAAGCAGAGACGTGATGGGTTTGGCCTGGGAGACTGGGAGTCTTGGGAGTTTCTTTGTCGATACTGCATCAGATTGTCATCATAGGCTTCTTCACAACAACACAACAAGTGTTCATACCACATACATGGCCGAATTTAGTCGATTATGTTTCATGTTTGCTGGAAGCTTGTGTCCTAGGGGAGCGAACCCCAGACCACGGGCAAGAGGCTTTTCCAAATCGACTTCAGCAAGGAGGACCCACGTGTTCGACGTTGGAGCATGAGCTGTAGAACGAGGACTCTCATGACCGGTCGAGTGGGGTTCACAGGAATGGGAGAAGGTCGAGGCTGTGTGGGACCTGTGGCGCCAAGATGGTGCCGTGGAAGTGGACTCACGAGCCTTCGGTGTCATGTACACGCTGCTTGTAAGCAATTAACAGGCTTAAACCCTGTAAACTTGGCGCGAATGGCTTAAGATGATTTTGCAGTTAAGAGCCAAATAGGAAGCGAACGGCATTGTTGCCCGGGGGCCTACCGAGGTTTAATTTGGCAGATGCCGTGGAGGCAGGACACGTGGGAGCAGAGAGAGAGAGAGAGAGCGAGAGAAGGAGAAAGAGAGAGCATGAGCAACCCTTCACCATTGCAAGGCGTGCCCGGAACCATTGGTACATTTTCCAAGTTTTATTGCCTTGGCAAAGCGCCAGGTGCCTTGGCTGTAATTTCAGAAGGTTTTCAAGCTTGGAACTGATTGAGCGCCATGTTGACAGACATTCTGTTCTTAGGCAGAATAAAAGCAATAACAATAATAACAACAATAATAATAGTAATAGTAAAGAGTTGGCAGGGTTAGAGTCCGAGAGATGCAGACAATGCAGTATCCTGTTGAAGCAGAGAGGGTAACCAAGCTTACACTAGCAACATGAATGCACCTGCTGGAAGGGTTTGCGCCTGTGCTTGGGGCCGTTGCCGCTCACAGACTTTGTGGCTGCAGTCGACATGAAGGAGCGCCGTCGATCTATTTTGAATGCCGGAGCTGCTGTGCGGGTGTCAAGCAACAGGAACGAGAGCAGGATAGTCTCTGAAACCGATTGTTGACCAAGACTGAAATTCGGCCTGTGTTAACTGATGCCCGTTTAGCCTGAACAGTTGCGCTTCGAGTTAATAAGCGTGCAGGCAGAGCTAGGTCGCTTGCGGCGGATCTATGCCTTTGAAGGCCGGGATGCTGCGGTAATCATGGCCATAACGATGAACGTTCCTTGTGAATATGCTTTGCGCATGCCGAATCATGCAGACATGTCACGCACATACACAAGGCTATCAATTGTCATCAGTTCTATTGCATTCTTTTGCTTTTGGTGGCATTGGGAACAGTCCAATTTCGACCAGCTGTTGGTGTTGACATCCGTAATGAAGAAGAACCTAACGGACCTGTCGAATTGGCAGGCGGGATGTCTTTGGACTCCGATGAGGTCACTCTAGCAGCGCATGGCAGCAGCACAGCGCCAATCCGAAATATTCAATGGTGTCCATGCTGACCAATGTCTGGGTCCTGCGCAGGCTGCCGAACAACGAGAAGCTTCGGGCTTGTACGTTGCATTCGCCTTCTGCAAAGAGGCGCGCTTGCAATATGTTTGCCGTTTGCCGTCGGCGCGCCATCCGCACAGTTTGACCTTCATCAGACAATTTCACAAGTGGCTACGTACACATTGCGAGCTAGGGCAGCTACGGTAGGAGGCAGGGCAGGAAGAAAATTAAAGAGACTGAGAAAGACGTCCGCAACCTGTAAGCATGCGACCTCTCAACAGCGACCATTTCGGGGGCCAAGCGTGCCGGAAGGAAGGAAAATAGGAATGAAGGAACGAAGAGAGAGGACGTTCGTTGCATGCTGAGGCGCACTCCGACGTTCCCGGATGTCAAGAAGTTTCTGATGGCGGTCGCCTCAATCAAGAAAATCTTGTGTGGTACAGAGCAGCAGCCGCACAACGCATGCAGCCGCATGCAGGTTACAAGTCCCTCCGCGGCAATTCTACGAAGATGCCGCAAGTTTCAGGCCAGACCTAATCAGGGAATCAAAATGAGGTACTCGCACACTTGTAGTTAAATCCCAGGGCCTTGAATTGTCGAACTCAGGTGACATCATCAGCTGCGCAGAGCCCAAAGAAGTTGGCCACGGTTGCAGTCCAAAAGTCCGCACCGCGAGTCGGCACACGTGTGCAAGAGCACATGCACTGGCTGTCACTGCAATGTACATGGAATCATAGATGTCAGAGCTGCGTTGCGTTGTTATCCATGTTGGGGCAACTGTGATGACTGCTCATATCACCTGATGTGCTCATCATTGCACATGTTATTCGACGTCGACTGTAATTCATTCCCGCGCTGCATGGCTTGATTCCGCGCTGCGATGCTTTGGCTAAAAGGTCCTTTGCCCCCCTTTGTCCATGCGGGGCGGAGAGGTGGGACTGGTTGCCGCCCGCATGCGGTGCCTGGCACCCAGATATTTCGGCAGAGCATTCACTGCGGAAAGAGTTTCAAAACTGGTTTGCACGTTAAAGCCGGTGGTTCAGGGCATGTTTGAGAGACGGAAAGGCCACGAGAAACCAGGTTTCCAGAGTTGAAGACTTGTACGGCTTGTGCACCCTGCGCCCAGGTTAACGCCCCAGCAAGGAAGGCTCGATTCGGCTGCATCAACGTGTTGTTCACGACTCGTGCAAGCGTCGGCTGCACGCAGGCATTCTCTCTGAAGGAGACACCTACCTGCTACCATGCATAAGTACCGGTGCGGTACTCGATTTCCCTGAGTGCCCCCATGGCAGTTGCACAGAACCCGCATTTTGTCAGCATGGCTTTTCGAGGCTGATTTCAAAGAAGGGCGAGGGCACCTTCTCAGAGGTGCTCAAGGCACGGGCTCCTCACGGCTTGGTGGTTTTCTTAAATTGAGTTGCAATTTGCCTCCAGGCGCAATCGATAAAGTCAGGGAAACATGTAGCAATCAAATGTGGCTTGGCTGCAACCTGCCGCAGAGCCGCACGCTTGCCTTCCGAACGTCAGTGAGACTATCCAAGTGCTTTGACGTGCCTGGTTGAAGATTTGAAGCGGCATGATGTCATTCGGCACTGTTGCTGTGCCCAGGCATGAAGAATCACTTCGACAGCATCGATCAAGTTAACAACTTGCGAGAAATCCAGGCTCCTCGCACTGGGAGAGTGCCAGCACAAATGGCAGTGAACCCGTATGAATCTGTGCATCGTCCTACAGCACCATGGCAATCCCACCAGATCCCCCAACTTCGACCCCGAGACCGGAGCTTCGGGTTCTTCTTGGAGAGGCCTTGCGCCGGTTAGCAGGACATCCAAACATCATCAAGCTCCACGAGGCCGAACTTGCCGGCGGAGACTTCAGAAAAGGGAGATTGTTTTGTTTCGAAGATGGGGAGAGTCGACACAAGCTGCAAAGTTGCTCAGAGAGTCGGAAGGGAAGGTTTGTGAGTTTAGCCGGACCGTACGTCGTGATGCACATGATGTCCACCGTGCCACTGCTGCTGCAAGGCTCAAGCGAGCATGCATTCACGCTCTACTTGTTATCAACTACGTAGCTTTTGCCTTCTTGCGGAAGGCGACACAGAATGGCCGCACAGCTCAACATGGTAAGACCTGAGGGTTTGGCCCACCCGATGTGTGCTGACATGTGTCGTCCATTCAACAGTTTTTGACTGTGACGAGGTAGTCTCAACCCAGATCGGAGTTGGTTTGGCCGCCTCCTCCCTTGCTACTTTGCGACAGTTCAGTGGACTGGATGACCAATGTTTGCACGATCGGCATATCAAAAGCAAGGCTGCTACTGCGTCCATGCGTCGTGTCTGGCAAGGTGGTCGCACTTGCACTGCGGGATGTACTACCTTTGAAGGGAAATACTTGTTCGCCTCTTGTCAAAGACTCGGGCCTGCCGGAGAGAGAAAAATCAAAGAGAGAGAGAGAGAGATCTGACAGCAAGAGCATGGTGTCATGAGTGTGTTGGGTCAATCAGCGAGTCGACGGGGGAAGTCCGAATCCTGGCAGTCGGCCTTCTGCTTTCACCGAAGAGGCTGGACGCATGATCTGTGCGCGCCTCGAGCGCGGGGGGGGGGGGTCCCACCCCTCAAGCCCCGTAGAAGCAGAAGAAGAAGAACAAGATTTGGGTAAAAGACCCTGGGAACAGAAAAACAAGCTTGACCTGGGACTTTCGCACGCCCTTCGGGGCGGCTCCCCTTCAGGGGGGCCAGGCGTGTGGAGAGAGAGAGAGAGATCTTGTGAACCCAAGGATCCTCATCCTGGCCATGGTGTGGTACTGGACGAGCGCGGTGTGGGCTGCAGTGACCAAGGAGCACCATTGTTTTTGGCAGCTAGCTCGGTTTGATACAGGTGACACCCTTTTCGGGCTTGCCCGTATTGTGAGGACATCTTGGCAGAGCTCGGTGCAGCACTCGTTTATCCTTCGACCAGCATTTGGTTGACTTTTGTCCCGCAGGCGCGCGAAAGCAGCCGCTAGCAAGACTTCGGTTTTGTGCATCATCGAGCGCGAGAGCTAAGAGATGCCTGGAAACCGCCCCTTGAGGCTCTGACCTACGTGCTGGTGCAGATTTTTGCATGGCTATCTGGGCTCAACATCTTCGAAGGACAGGGTTCACTGTTGAACTGAGGGTGAGGCCGGTGAGGGGCCAGATGCAAATCGCAAAGCCCCGCTGAGAGCGACGGCATGTGACTCCTGTCTTCAATGGATTGCTTCCGCCCTCCAGGAACGCTCACTCGCTCCAAAAGCGGCATCATGGCAGAGTGAGTTTTTTTACTTCTCCTTTTTGATCGGTGTTTGGGCTGTAGCTTATGATGTTGTTTGGTATATTGTCTTCTCAATGCAGTTTTAAGAAGCTTTTCCTGGACATTCGGGGACAGCTCGTGAACATGATTGACCCTCGGAGGTATGGGCTTCGGCATTTGGCAGCTCGCTGGCTCTGCGTCCTTTGGCTAGCAACGTTTTGGGACGTATGAATGTATGATGATATGTATGATGTATCTCAAGTCACAGCCACAAAGAGCGGAAACACCCTGCATGGCTAAGGTATTTCTACGGTCAGCTGTTTACTGTCGCAGCATTGGCGCTCGATGCACCCAGCACTTTGGAGCATTGAGTCTGACATCACACACCATCTCTTCTCGCGGTATACCGTGGCAAAGACTCAGACCCTTCCAAGATGTATACCCCACGGCAAGAGTACATTCTAGTATGGTCACCTGAGGCATAGTTTTTGTGGTGAAGGCCATCGAACCGCTCAGCACTGCACTTCTCGCAATACCGGTGCTGCGACAGAGCTTTCAGCCGCAGCTCTTTCTGGCGATCGTTGTCGTGGCTCAGCATAACTTGTGACCAGTCAGGTGTGTTGTTGTTGTTCACGCTTCGTGTGCCCACACTTGATGCTTGTCTCAATGAGACCAAGACGTCTCCGACCGAAAGCAAAATCACATTCGAGTAAGAGTCTCGGTCCACTGTTAAGCTTGCAGTCCGGGATGCTCGCGCACCTTGAAGTCTTGATGGCTTCCTTTGTAAGCGGCTTGCCACCCTACACGCTTAAGAATAAGGCCTCGTTGCCTAGGGAGCAGCTCGTTGTACGTGCTTTCAGACTCTTAATGGGGTGCCGAAAGGCTTAGAATCTTTGGTTACCAACGCAATCAAAAGACTTGTCGGGAGTAATTCTTCCCCGGTCCAGTTGGCCCAGATTTGGCCGCTGGATTCGGCTGTGCCATGAATGATCGGGACCCTTCGGGCGGAAAGGGGGGGAAACATCCTGAGAGATCCCGTCCCCATGGTCGTGAAAAACATTAGAATCATAGCAGCATGGCTCCAGACAACAGCAGCATTTGTGCTAGAGAGCGCTGCCGCTAGTAGCTGCTAGTAAGTTCGAGCAAACCGGCAGTGCAGCGAACAGGCTTGCAGCGGCATCATGATCACAGCGTGGGCGGCTCATGGCGGCTCCAGCATGAGCCTTGTTTGCAGCAAGATTTCTCACGTTCCCAGGCAACACCGGGCGACCAGGAATTCCCTGGACATGTGTAGAAAACGTTCTGTGTGGCAATGCTTGTTCTGCTCAGGTTTCCTACTTCATCGGGTGTCAACTTTGCACCACACAAATAATAAGCCGAAAGCAACGATGTGCAAAGTGGATTTGAATCCATCACGGTGCTCGAAGGGGGCATGTGAATCGCAGGCAATTGCACGGACTTCGGGATGACTTCGTTGTCTTATTGTGAGATTTGTTGTGAGATTTGCTGTGGGATTTGTTGTGAATTTTCGTGTTGTCCGTAGTGCTTGAGCATTTTAGTGCTTCGCGACTTCCAAAATATGCATGTTTTGCAGAGAGCCCAAGTTCCGATATTCGCAGGGGAGGCGAGCATGTCCGAAGTTTTTCGAACATCTCCCCGAACATCTCCGAGGGTTCAGAGCGGCAGCGCCTACGTGGCAATGTGCATGGGCATGCTGGCCAATATCGGCTTTTCCTGCCGAGCCTGCGTGGCGAAGAGGGTCCGCTGCTGAGTCTGCTGAGGTCAACCGAACAAGAAGGCTTGTGTCTGTGCAATTCTTCAGTAGTTACAGGTATTTTGCCAAGCGACCCGCAAGCTCAGGCATTGGTTTTCGAGAGCAACCACCCGCTTCAGGCATTGCTGCGAAAATGGCACGGGATGGCCCGAAACCTTGAAAACAAGAAGACAGTCACCCTCGTAAGTGGAACTCTCCAGGCGTTCGGCAAGCTCACGGTTTCGGCGACGCAGTCCGGAACAGACACTTCCTGGCAATAATTGCTAGAAAGCGAGGGGATCACTTGGAGAACTTGCGGTTAGGCTGAAGAGTCCAAAGCTGTTGAGATGTTGTTGAAGGTGCTCCTGGTCTTTTGGCTGCTGCTTGGAAGATTGCTACCACACCACGAAGCCACCAGCAGCTTATTCATGCACTTGTACCACCGCCCTGCGGCGTGGTTCACGGCACCTCGCCTCAATGGCCCAAGCACCGCACCCACACATCATTTCACGTTGTAAAGCGGTCGTCAATCGTTTGACATCGTTTGGCCGCTTTCTCAACATTGGCCAGGCAGCCTTGACATACTTCCTCTACCAGAGCTCGTCGCTTCTGCTTCTGCAGCTCAGCCTTCAGATATGAAACCTTCGCAGCATCCGTCCACTCCGTAAAAGACACCAGAAGTACCAAGTGACCAAGTCGTGTACGGCCTCTCGTTGGTTGTCCGTGTGGCAGTCCAGTCACTGGCATAGCTTTGAGTCATCATTGGTCAAGGATTGTAAACGCCCCGAAGGCTGAAGCGTGCAACACCTCAAACGTCCTGATGAAAATTTTCAACATGTTCTGAGGAGCTGCTTCCTGGTTGAGACCCACGCCCTGCTCGTCGCGCTGAAGCCACCCGGACTGAATCGATGGAGGTGTTCCGGACACTCGCAAGCAGCCGCAGCCGCGCCTGCTCTTTCCGGAGATTGCATATCCGAGGCATGTGTTCGTTGTGGTCATTGCATCCCTGATGACTGGGGCTGTCCAGTACTCAGTTCTTTGAACCATGCCATCGGAAGCTCAAGTCTCACACTCTCACCACGAGGTCATTGCTGCAGTGCACTTGTTTGCATTTGACATGGTCAGGTGCTCAATGAGTACATGGTTCTGGGCTTGATTCTGGTGTGCACCGGGGTCTGCTGGTATCTCACTGACAGCAGTGAGAGCCCAAGTCATCTCATCATTTGGCCTTTCGGATAGTGCTATCGGGGCTGAGTGCTGAGGCTCAGCAAAATCTGAGAAGGTGCCGGCAGTGGAAGCGGTTTTGGGCCGTTACCTTTGGCAACAGACATTGGCCGTTTCGCAGTAGTGTGGTCAGGGCAAGGGCCCCTCTGCACATGCCAGGATTTTCGAGCTAGAAGTCTTTTGACCCCTAAGCCTCCGCTCCAGACTGCCGGAGGAGCCGATCCTACCAAAAGTCCAGGGCGAACAGGAGAGCCATGAGGCGTGGTTCCAAGGTCCCAACCCTGCCCCACACCCTCAACCCCTGTGTTAATTATGGACATGCCCAGTACGAACTTCTGCGAACTTGTTCGATTTTCCAGCTAGACGACTGCCCAAGAGCGATTGCTGTGTATCTTGTAATCACGACAGCTAGCCTCGGAAAACTAGCGGAGTGGCTTACCTAAAGCGATAGCTTCCATGTAGGGGAATACAGGTCCAGGAGTCCGGCGGGGGGGGGGGCGGTCGCCACAAAATGACGAATCCCGAAGAACACCTGGATATTTCCTGGCCACCCCTTGCCCTACCCCCATCGCCCCGTCCCTCCCCCCCTCGCCCGAACCCCGTCACAAGTGCTGATGTTGATATAGTGTGCGCGTGTGTGTGTGTGTGTGTGTGTGCGCGCGTGCTGCATGTTGTGTTATACCACGTTATAAGTACATCTCCAATTGCTTCTGAGAGCTCCACACTGATGGTGGGGAAGAATAAGAAGAGTTATAAAGACGATGACGATGGATCTTTTTTCAATATTCATTTCAATAAATATTCAAATAAAGCCGGCTTTGTGGGGATTATGTTCATTTTTGACCATCTGTCATGGTCTGAGCTTCTTCCTATGTCTTGTGTTCTGAATTGTCTATGTGCTTTTAGCCATAATGTGTCATTGTCTGCCTCGTTATATGTGATCTCTCTTTATGCATAGATCTGTCTGGTTCTAGTATAAACACAACATCTTGCGCATCCGATTGTTAAAACAACAAGATGGCAACTATGGTATAATCATGGTGAGATATGTTCAGATGTTTCTAAAGAGTTTTGTATGAGGAACCGTTCTCTTTCTATGTTGTATATGCCGCCGAGACTAGTGATGCATTGGATCGATGCTTGACCTGAATCAGCGCGGAGTGCCCGCCTGCACACTCCTAAACAGAATCCTGCAGAACATATGCGGAGTGACCGGAGTGCCATGTCCACAGAATCCGGTAGAGAATCCCTGGAGTGCCAACCCCAAGAATCCGGAGAGACTGTCGCAGAGAATTCCGTAAAGTTTGCCTACCACCAAGGAAGCAGTCAGTTTTTGCCAATTTTTACACATAAATTTGTTGCTTGAAACCAGATACTTCGGCATAGTAACACATGGCACGACTAGATTGTACTTCTCGATTCGTCGATCTCACTTGAATCCCTGCACTAGCTTTCGTCCCAATCTCTCACCTCAATCCCTCTCCTTGGTACAAAGGTTCCCTGGTCCCTGGTTTCTGTCGTCGTCTCGGTCAGCGCCTCAGATACGACACATCGCAGCATAGTGCAGCGCGTTCGAACCTTGTGCGTTTGCTTCTGGGTTCGGCCCGAGGTTGTGGTCATGGGAACATTGACGCCATTGCTGCAGCTTTAGCAAACGCATCTTCCAGCACGTGCGAATTCAAAGGTGGCGAAGATGCTACTGAGCTGCTACTTAGAGACTCAAGATTTCGATGATTATGATGGAGGAAGATTGTCAAAAGGTACTGCTTCCTTTCTCCACTTAATATGGAGTCAGAGAGCACATGGGACAAAGAAGTGCGCGGCGCGCGCGCACAAGACTGGTTTCCCAATTTGCTTCCCCCCAAAAAAGGGGAGACATGCACATGATGCACATGCTTGGAGCCCAAGGCTTCTAAAGGCCATGTGACAGAAAAGTTTGAAACCTTCCTCCAGCACAAAATGTGCAACTGCCATAGCAGGTCCAAACATGTCTCGGGGTTTGCTCAGGCTTCATGTTTTTGTTTCTGAACCGGTTGAGAATATGTGACAGATCGTCTACCACTCGTTTCTCAAACGGAGAAGAGTGTCGACTCGGGCAGGTCCTTTACGACGAGCCCACCGGACGGCTCGCCTTGGTTTTCGAGCTGATGGCTGCGACCTGAGTCTGAGACAGCTTGCTTTGCACCCTGTACTCGGTAAGTGATACGTAATCTGTGACAGCGGTATCTCCACACTGGAGCATGTCACTGCGGAGCCAAGGACATGAACCTCTATGAAGCCATCAAAGGACGAAGGCATTATTTGCCCGAGCAAAAGGTTGTTGCCTCAATGACATGTTGTGAAATGTGCACGGTAGACGAACGTGTTACAAATGTTTGCGTGTCGCTTCGCAACAAATGAGGTAAGCAGAGCGAACGCGCAACCCGCAAGAGTCAAACGTTGCATGTTGCAGGCGTTTCGTTTTTACCGGGAACGGCCTAGTAAAACCTTAGCACGAAAGCGCAAACCGCCTCGGCCTGTCCGTGTGCAGATGGTCATAGGGGGGCTTATGACATCCAATGACATTCCATGGGTCATTTGTCGGTACATGGAGGTCCGCGGGAGGGGATGAGGCATTCCCAAGGGAAAAGACCGGGAGACGTAGACAGAGTTCCAACGCGGTCCATCGGCTAAAAGTGGGGTCCCCAGAAGCGTCATTGGAGATGATGGAGATGCGTGTTGGCGTAGGAAAATTGTTTTTTTGGGAGAAGACCCCGCTGGAATTCTGTGGAGCTGCATGGTCCCCTCAGCGTCTGGTGGAGCCCCATGCGCCCCCTCATTGGTCCCGTTGCCATCGCACGGAAGCAGCGCAATGTAATTACAGCGTGTTTGTTTGCCTGTCCAGAAACTTGTGCGCACACACACACACACAAATGCGTTGCATCGCTGTTCATGTCGTACATGTCATTTACGGGAACTAGGGGCACACGTTTTCCCCCGTCAAATGAAAATGAGTAAAACCGTACGTGCACAGACATGTCGAACAGACACAAATGCTCATGCACGGCATCCCCTAGCAAGTCTTTGAAGGTCATTCCACCGTACTTGGGGGATCCTTTTGGAAGGTCCACAAACCTGTCTCGAAAGTCATTTTTCAGCACAAGCAACAGTCCTGCATTGCACAGAGCTGCACATGGTGTGCAGCACACACGCGGTACCCTTTCGCCAAGGTTAAGCACTACATGTACGAAATGCTGAAGGCATGGCATTGCACGCAGCCGCAAGTCTGTCAGCACAGCCATTCTCATTCCTGATGCTTTTGCAAGGCATTGGACCATATGCATCGAAATGGCATCTTTCATCGAGATGTGAAGCGCCATAATCCTGTGTTATGCGAGCTGACCTCACAGAATGCTACGGGCTGCACTTCCCCCGCTGTCTAGCTGTGGCGAGCATATCTCTTTCGCCACAAGCCAGGCCAGAAAATCTGCTCCTGCTGGATGATGCAACCTTAGCAAAAGTCGTTCAAGTCATTTAATCTGTTTCCGCTTGTCGGAATGACAGCTTAGCCAAATCAGGATGAGATCAAGCTGGCGGACTTGGGCAGCTGCCGAGGCATCTACTCTCGCCAGCCGCCGCCTGCTTGAACCAGGAGTTTGAAGAGGTTTACAAGTTCAGATGGTTTGATTCGAATACACTTTTCTTCTGATCTGCGGATTCCATCTCGGCTGGACTTCTCAGGTTCACTGAGTACATCTCGACCAGGCGGGACCCCAAGATACCACTACTATACAGAGGGCAGTACTGCTGCCGAGCCACCTGAGGTGGTATCGTGCGCCCGAGTGTCTTCTGACAGTGCTCTGGCTGCAACTTTGTCAAACAACCCAGCTCAGGGCTACTGTAGCTGCTGTAGCTATCATGACATCTGAGAACTCAAGCTATGCTGCATGTGCGGAGGATGGGTACTACAACTTCAAGATGGATTTGTTTGCAGCTGGCTGCCCGGTCCCTGGCAAGTCCGAACACACCACAACGCTGGCGTGGCATCCTTGCTGAGTTGAGGCGTTTGCTTTGAGATTGTGGCGCTCTTTCCTCTTTTTCCTGGCCAGAATGAGATGGCCCAGTCCTTGTCTTCCACAGTCTCGTCCACCGAGAAAGCCACGTCATGCCATGGTCTGTGTTCCGCACGTTCAGATTCTCTTTGAGGATCAAATTCAGAAAATTCACAATGTCTGGACCCGAGATTGCAGAAGATTCCAGTAAGGGGCGCTACAGTGTTTTCTACCAGCTGCTGTGCTGAACACTGGAATTGGAAGAACTTGAAGGTGCTGGGCACTCCTCCGGCTGAACTGCTTGCAAGGAAGTTCCGTCGAAATGCGGGGACCCCAAACGCTCAGCGTAGCTTTTGTTTTCTTGCCAGGTCCGGAGAGAGAAGACATAGTAGAAGTTGCACCGTAGCCATGAATCTGTAGAGCTTGCATGCGTGTGAGTTTGCATGAGGCATCCCACATGGATTTCAACTTTCCGGAGAAAAAGGCAGACCTTCTGTTGACCTGTCCGAAACGGATCAGGGTGTACTTTCGGATGTACATGATTGGCGAGGTTGTCCTCGTACCTGCGGTGACTTAACATTTGCTTGGTGCGTCAGGGTACGGGCATCGAGCGGCTGATTCCGCACGCCGATCCAGAGCTCGTTGAGCTCATGAAGAAACTCGTGAGGCCGCACCATGCGATGCACGTCATGTACGGAAATCACGTCTTCCCCAGATCCAAAGTGACAATCTAGCAGAGTGGTCTCGAGCGGGTGACAACGGCCTGTAAGCCAACTCTCAACGATGCGATCCGATGCGCCTCACCCTTCCCTCGTGTCTCGTGTGGAGGTACGATCCCGACGAGCGCATCCTCGCCAGGCAGGCGCTGAAGGAGAGAAACGCACACAGAGGGCACCAGGGCTGTCGAGTTTTGGGAGTTGCGAGTTCGGCTGAGCCTGAGCATGTGCTGCATACCGGAGTGGCCGCGGCATGGACGCTGGATGTTGCGGGATGTTAGGGATGTCCGCCTTTCAAGGTAGGTGGCCAGGCTTTGGACAGAGGCTTCCTTTGTGATCTCTCACTCTCCCTCTCTCTCTCTCTCGCTTGGGGTCTCTCTCAAGGACCCATACTTCCGTGAACTCCGCGAAGCAGAGAAGGACACGAAGCGTTTGGGTCATTGCAGACCTCAGCATAGCTTTAGGCAAGAGGAGGCGTTGCGAGACACGTGTGTTGGAGGAGCTGGCAACGGCTGTTCGGGACTGATGTTTTCTCATCCCGGCACCCTAGAAGATGTGCATGGAAGACCTCAGACAAATATTTTCGCGAGGGTGAGATAGCGGTTCGAGGTCGCACAGCTCCAGTCAACCAGCGGTGGCTCACGAAGTGCGGCCCCAAGTTATTGGCAATTGCAGGCAGCAAGGTATAGGGAGTGTAAAGCTGAACTTCCCCCCAAGTTCCATCCAGGCATCCCAAGACTCACCGGTTATCACCTGTGTCCTACTCGTACGTTTTGTTCTCCCAACGGCACGAGCAGCTGCACGGGATAACTTGTCATTCTTGTCCGAGCGAGCGCTGCCGAGGTCGTGATCCCATGTCAAAGGCCGGACACTGTGTTGGGGTGACTGGGGGCCTCAATTGTCGCAAGTTGCTGATTCTGTGCTGTTTAGCGGTCTGTCAGGTTAGTGTTGTTTTGATGGTTCTTTGGGCTGTCGTGAGCACGCATGTGCCACGGGGCATGCGCGGGTTTAGAGTCTGTCGTTCAGAGTCAGAGCAGGCCGGCCTGAGCGCCACCAGCAGTGTGGCGAGCAACGCAGAGCACGAGAATCCGGAGCAGACCCACGAGTTCGGTGCTCAAACTAAGCTTTGACTTGCGTGGCTCTCAATGAGTCTCAATTGAGTCATGTGTGTGGATCTTGAGAACAGGTTCATCAGATGACAAAATCTATATGAGCCACGTTGAGCCACAGTCCCAGACAGGCCCAGCCGGAGCAGCAGCCCTGCGTGCGGAGCCTTAGCTTTGACAGCAGAGAGGATACCTGGCTACTCTTCGTGCTGAGACATACCGTCGTCGCTCATGCTGGATGTGGGTTAAGTCAACCGGCTGTAACATTGACTCGCCATTGCGTGATCTTGGGGAACTGCATAATATGTCCTTGTCATTTCAAGCCGAGTCTGGCCGGACAGTGGAGTTTTTTCATTCGCAAGTTCGCGCGGTCAACAGTTCCCCGACTGAAACATGCTCCAACTTCTCTGTACACAGCGTTTCTTGCCGAAAGTCGGTTTCAACAGGACTCCACGCCTTGAGAAGTGCCCACATGACACGAGGGATGCGCCGACTTCACAGAAGCTAACCCCAATGCCAAGTACAGTAGGTGTTGCGGAGAGCACACGAGAGCACCCGTGTGCCTGAAGGCCAGAGGAGTCCCGCAGTGGTGGGCTTCCCACCATCCGCCAAGAGCGACGCAAGGCGGGGATCCTTTGGGGAGCTTGAAAAATGGGAGGAAAAAAGTGGAGCTGCAAAGCATTTGTGCCTCGTACAGGTGGGCGGAATGGCAGACAGCGACGAGGTGCACGATGACGGCATGGCGTGATGCTAAGCTGAAGTCTGAAGTGGGCCGGCCGTACATGGCCACGTGAAATCAGGCTGGCACGATCTGGCACGTCGGCCAACAAGCAACAAAACCGAGGGATACCAGAAGCTTGAGATAGCTTGAGAGTAAAGAGCGACATATAGTAGTGAGTGTCATAGCTTAATGAAGTAAATCGTTCCGCACCTCGCCTTGCATGCCACGACTCAGGTCCTTCCGCCCATTGGGGGCCTGAAGGGAAAACGAGACAGCAAGATGAAGACTCAGACCTTCAAGACCGCGGCGGCCGCCTGCAAGCTCAGCATTGCTCCGATTTCCAACAGCTTCAGTTTAAACCTTCGCCACCCCGTCAAAGACAGCACGCTCGCAAGAGGCATCCTTGCAGAAGCCAGGCATGGTGTGCCGCCCTTACAGCCGAGGCTCACCATGGTCTTGAGTCCTTGGATCCCTACCGTGGCCAAAAGACCATCAAATACCGGCGTATATCCACAGTGATGATTGCGCACAACTTCAAGACTGCGCTTAAGGGGTTCTGATCTATTCTTTCTGCGACAAGTGAACATTGCCCAGGCACGGCACCATGACCGTGCATGGGTCCATGGGAGGGTGCGGGCCCCAGCTAGCCCCAAGTTCTTTCGGCCAAGCCTCGCTGCTTTGTCTTCAAAAGTTGCCCCCGCTGCCCAGTGTGCATGGCGCGGAGAAGTCCCTGGGTGTCCTGGGAACGTCCAAGGGGTCGGGCGCTCAAAAAGCTTGAAGCCTGAGGCAAACAGCATCAGAGAGCCTTCCATTGACAGCTGCCAAACGCTGCGACACATGTCACATGCCGCAGACGCCGCATGCGTGAGGTTCAACGGAACTGTCAGCAGCACCACAGGAGAGAATACCACCACCACTTTATGCCGTTTTTGTTTTGCTTGCTTTATCGGATGCTTTAACATTTTCTCCGAAGGAGCCAACACTCAGTCCAGCATGTCCTCTAATGGCGTGCGGGTCTCAGTATGGGTGTTGTTCTTAATCAGGGTCCCCTTCTAGGTACCTTTGAAAATGGGAGAGGTCCAGCAGTACAAAGGGTCCCCTTCATCATAGAGCCCCCGCCCCCCATCTCAGTCTTCATGAAAACACGGAGCCACTGTCGTCATCAGTTCCCCAGCATCGGCACTTTCAGGACCCTATGTCATCCACGAATCCACACAGTTGGACTACGACTGACCACCAGGACATGCGTGGGGCATGAAGCTTACACTTGTTGCCACGTGCCTGGAACCCCGCAGCTGTACAGCTGGTTAGGGAGTTTCAAGGGAACTACCGACAGCCGAGGTGAGCTCTGGGCACGAAACTCAGGCCGACTTGGCGTACAGTGCCGTGCCGTCCGCCAGTCCGGGCTGTAGCTGAGATAAACAATAAAGAAATCAATGCAGAACGCCAAGGTCTGGTACCACGGCGGACAAGATGAACTCGACCTGGGCTCCGAACTCGCAGCGAAGGCGTAGCCGCCACTTTAGATTTTGCATGGGCATCAGGGAATCACTTTTCTGGAGGTACGTATCGCCCTTTGGTGCAAAGATGCCTGGTGGAGGGTCCAAAAAGCGTCCAGAACCAAGCCGACCAATTCACAAACTCCCGGGCAGTTGGGCATCAGTCTGTTGGCACAGTCCGCTCTGAGGCTAGAAGGCCCTCCAGTACCACAGCGCATGGATTAACTTGCTGTACAGTGCCTCGCAGTTTCACGCGTTTTTGTTGTAAGTTGATGTACTACACCACGACGTTTCATTGTTTGGCATTTGAGTTGTGGGGCTAGGCTGTAAGCCAGCCTAAGTTTTGTATATAGCCGTCGTGATAAAGAAACACTTCAGTTGCACGCTGCCAAGCAGCTGCGGACTCGAATTCGCGCAAGCCAGGGTGGTCGCCAGGGGGTCAGAGAGGGTGCGACGATAATTCTCCGAAAGGATCTGGAAGCTTGAGCTCCTGGTTTTGGCATCACCCGGGGGAATCTTTATGATCCGAAGGCAATTGCAAAGAATCGCAAAGGTTTTTGACGGGCTGCCGGAAGGCATCTTTGTCCTTGCCAGATTCGCCCATCGAAGCTGTGTCCCGTCGGCTCGCAGCTGGATGTTCTCCTGGAACTCTAAGTCTAAGTTGATGCTTTCCTTTAGTTTTGTACAATTCCGCAAGTACGTGAACCTTGACCTTCCGGTTTCCAGCTGCTGCCTGCCTGAGTACAGTTGGCGCGGGAGGCGATTTTTACATTTTCTTGCATGTGAGCAAAGCGTGCATCTTCCGCACGCAAGTACTCGTAGCTCAGGACGCCCTGTTGCACAGGAAAGATACCCTTCTGGAATCCCGCTTGTGGAACAATTAATTACAGCTGTTTCTGAAAGCTTGAACATTGAGGACCCCACTCGTAATCATTTACTTGCCCAAGTGGGTTCGCAACAGTCCATCAAAACGGTGGTCTGCAACTGATGCCAGTTACACATTGGCTATCAGTGCCGCCGGAAGCCATGCACGTTTCACACAGTTTACCAGGATGCCCATCTATCAACATCGATAAGCATCATTTACATAAAACAGTTTGAGCCTCCTGGTGGTGTCGCCCCTCAGTCATCTGCTGAGAAGTACCGGCGCCTGAAAAGTGCACTTGCTGTTACATCGCGAGTCATCATCTCGATAGTAGCCATAAAAATCATTAAACTGTATGAACCTTGGTGCTCCCAGAAGTCTTCTCTGCTTAAATTTATGTTCATCTTGTAGAGAGGCCGTTTTGGCTGTCGGCTATCTATTCGAAATGCTTTGAACGGCACCGACAGAAGTTGACAAAAGCTCAATGACAGGATCCAAGCAATATCAAGTGTCAAACAAGGTGCAAGACTTTTCTCTGTCGAATGCTATCGCCATGCGGCTGGTGCTCCTTATGCAATACGTTTGTCCGGTCATCGTTGTGATTGTTGCCAGCGGAGGTGCATTCCTTTGGCCAGTGGCATTGCGCTTGTGGAGATTGTCGCAAACGTTGGTGCCTTTGGACAGCAAGGATTCAGATGCTCTTCGGATAGGCATCTTGGGAGCTTCGTTTATTGCAAGAGCAGCAGTCGTCAGCGCTGCAGATAAGAGGAAAGACATCGTTGTGTCTGCTGTCGCGGCGCGAGACACGCAGCGTGCAAAGAATTATGCCGCCCAGTACGACATTCCTGCCTTTCATGGGGGGCCACACGCGTATTCCAGCCTGCTGGCGAGAGACGATGTCGATGCGGTATATATCGGACTGCCAACGGCCTTACATCTAGAGTGGGCCATTGCAGCAATGCGTGCGGGCAAAGACGTCCTGCTGGAGAAGCCAGCAGTGCTAAATGCAAACGAGGCATCAGAGTTGGCCCAGGAAGCCAAACGCACTGGGCGCATGGTCTTCGAAGCCGGGCACTACCGCTATCATCCAGCAGCCAAGCGGGCAAAGCAGCTGATGTCCTTGAACATTCTGGACGGTGGTGTCGCCCCGCTCCGATCTGTGGAGGTGAGGTTCTCAATGTTGGACCCTAAAGCTTGGCTGCGCCGCATGTGGAGCCTGGTGAGCAGTGACGACTCCATGCGACCAGACGAACGCTTGGCGGAGCGGGTGAAGAATTTTGATCGTTGGTGGTACTGTGTCGACATGCTCTTGTGGTCGACAGGTGCTTTTGATGCACATGTAGTATCGGCCAACGAAAGTCGGTTCTCCTTGGCTGCTACACTGGAGCTTTACCTGTACCCATCCTTGGTTGTCAATGTTTCCATGTCAATGGCTAGAGATTCACTCCTTGATCCTTTCACGTGGAGCGTCTCAGCTTTGGGACAGACCTCCGATGGACAGGCGCCGGACCAGAAAGCCGAATCAAAAAGATGTCAACGTCTAACGCTGTTTGTTGCTGACTCTTCCTCACAGTGCTTCAGGCCGTTGTGAAGAAAAACTTGTCATCTCTGCCTGAGCTGCAGGCCTCCCTGAAACTCCACAACTTCGGCTTCCCTTTCCTTTGGCATCGCTTGGACTGGAAGAGTGCCTTGGAGAGATGGCCCAGGCTTCCGGGACCCCCCCCCCAAGCGTTGAATTGTGCATCGCAACATCCCGCCTCTTAGGCCTGGACGTGGCTCACTCTGAGCAGCTCTACGGCTTTGGCGAGACGACGCAGGGCGCCCGGAAAATCAGCGTGTCATAGGCTTCCACGGTTGCATGAGAGCCAAGCATGACCAGAACATGACATGTCCGGTTCGGGCAAAAGATGGCAAAAGCATGGGTGTTGGATGGGGCCCGCAGCTTGAAAATTGCCTCCCCAGCAGTTGTCGATTGTAGCTGGCAGTTGCTATATCAAACTCTTCCCGAGGTTTGAACACCAACTGGGCAGCTTCCGAGAAGCATTACAGTCGGGCGACCGCCAGGCAGGGAATTTAACAGGTAGTCGGTCCGTCCCCACCTCCCTCCACCTCCTCACCCCCGATCCCACAACCACAAAACTAGCATTCCCCATCGCTAAAGCTTCTTTGTGGCCCTGGGTCGATGTCGATATCATGCTGGAATGGTTCAGCATTCACGGATCTTCAGGGCAACTTCACCGATCTGCACAGGAGGACGCCATCCTCCTCACCATGAGAACGGTGGACCGCATACTGGAGGTGGCCGGCCATGGAGCTTTCCCTTCGAAGGAGGTTGTACATCATCAGTAAGGTACGGGCTATCGAGAACACACCGCCGCAAGGTGCCCTCAGGGGTGCAAACAGCTCTAGCGATCTAGCGACCTGCGTCGGCACGGGCCACAACTTCAGCTTCACGATCCACAACATCGGCAGTTCTGGAGCGTTATCGAAGTGAACGCGGAGCACCGAGGATCCTGCGAAGGTCGTGTGCAGAAAGCTTCGGTGGCGGCAGTTGATGCAGTTGTCAGACAGGCAAGCAAGTTGCTAAAGGAGGAGCAGTTCCTTGCATAGAGAGAAAAGAAAGTGCACCGAAGGGGCATGCAAGGCATTAGTGTCTATCTACATCAGCGATTATCTTCCCATTGTCGTAGATGGTGGGGATCATGCTGTTTGGAACATGCCTCGGATCGAGGACTAGGTGCGTTTGCAGGTTGTAGAATGTTGTAGACGCAGATTCGTGCGTTGCGGGTCGAGGTTGAATCCCGAGACCCGTTTCTTGCGTCTCTCGACGAAAACCGTCTCAAGGATTGTGCTGTCACCGTGCCGAAAACATTTGCTTTTCAGATCATCGGTACCCTGCATCTACTCCTGCAGAGCGGGGTCGGAGCCAAATGTAACATTGTATGTATGTATGTATGTATGTATGTATGTATGTATGTATGTATGTATGTATGCATATATATCTACATTCACATATGTTATGCCCCAAGACACAAGGTTTTCCGCATTGTTGATTGGCATGTGCAAGAGCAAGACACAAGACGCGGCTGAAATTCTGGACAACAAAAAGCCCCTACAAGCCCATAGCTTCAAGCCCTAAACCCTTGGACCCTCTTCTTCGTAGGTTCCCTGCACATCTCCGACATAAAGGTCGGCCACCCTCAATTGTGAACACTCAACCCGGGGCCTAACCCTCCCTAGCTTCTTCGCTTGCAAAGAAGCAAACACTACCGACAAGATGAGCTAAGAAGGCTCAGCCCGTTCTCAATATCACGCAAGAGAGCACGACGCCTTAAGTCCCTTCACTTCTACAAATAGGAAACACCTTTTTCGTTCTTAATCAGAGAGATCAGTGTCGTTTTCTTTCAGGTTAATCAGAATGATGCCAGTCTTTATTCGTGTGAAACAAACTGAACCTGTTTCATCTTCCGGTTCTGATAAAGCTCCAGAGCTCCTCCTTCTCTTCATCATAGTATATCTACCCAGCAGATAAATTGGGCAGTTCATCCTATTCTAAAAAATAGGCAAGTAACAAGCAACAAGAGAGCCTTTCCTTCATAAACACATGGCCCTTTGTCATAAAAGGTCTGGACTGATTATTTTTGGCCGGTGATTTTGAGCACTCAAACACCGCTGGGCCCGAACTCTCCCCAAAGGCGAATCTCCTGCTCGCGAAACACCGACAAGCTCCAAGTGTCCCAAGATGCCCAAGATCCTTTAGACTATGAGGCGTGGGGAGTGTTTTTTGGTATGAAGCATGAAAGGACCCGAGTTTTGTAAACTCCCACGTGTCAATGAATTTCTGAAACTACGTAGGGCTTGGACTCTCAAAGGTCACGGCTCGCCATCCTTAGAGGTAGTGGTCGGTCAAGCCAATGAAGCACGATTGTTGAAACCGGCATGCCGCCGACTTACTGGACAAAAAGTATGGCTTGGACTTGGCTAAGGCGAGATGCTTCGAATGATAACAGCCCTCGAAATCCTAAACTAAAAAAACACCATCCATTGTACAATCTGTGTTTGCATGCCTGCGTTGTTCGGCTCCAGCATCTGCTTAGTAGCCCGGGGAAGGCAAGCGAATTGCAGCACATCGTTCTTGACACGATGGGGTATTTGTAGGTTAACAGCCGAAATAAGCAATGTAGAATCCAGCGTCTGTTTCGAATGCTTAGCCTCTTGAGAACAATCCCGGCTGAAGACAATGCGCACGGCCACAAAGCATGCCAGGAAACCTTGCATAGCAGACAGACAAGTATGAACCGTGTCACTCGACTTTGTGTGTATACATAGGCTTGTTGCAAACATGGCCACGCCGGCAGCGGCCGCCAAAGAATTCGTTAGCGGGCCTCGCGTAATTCAGGCAACATGGGCAGTTTTTGTTGGGCGTGCTCGCCGAACGAGACTGGGTTATACATGCGTGTGTGTGTGTGTGTGTGTGTGTGTGTGTGAAAGACAGCTGCGAAGACTTGGGTTTTTTGGGCCGACATTTCCACTTGAAAGTTGTTGTTCGTCTCTCATGTCTCGCAATCGTGACGTACTCGAGCTGCACCGCGTAGTTACAGTCCTAGCTCACAATCCTACCCCACCCAAGTAGCATGCGAGACATGACATGCAGGAACGATGCAAAACAGCCCTTTATTCGTAGAGGATGTTGGGTGTGGCTGCGTTCTAGCAGCAGAACCATTTTGCTGTTGAGTCCGATTGGACCGATTGCCCTGTCTACGATTCTTAAGCTTGGTGATCGTCTGGTGCTGATAGATGACACTAGCATTGGTCGCCAGTGGCCAGCCTTTGCGCAGGCAGCACGCCTTCTGCTGGACAGCTTCTCCGTGCGGCAAATATGTGAGGTCGGTTTGGCAGGTTTTGGTATTCATGGCATCCTTCCAACGATTTGGGACCTGTCTGGCAGTTCTGCCCCTAGTAGGCTTTAGCATCGGCCGCCGCTGAAGATGTAGAGCCGCCCCCTCAAAGAGTCGCATTGTGCCGAACCGATGGCTGTTGTGCTGACAACATCCGGAGCCGAGGCCTTTAGTACTTGCTCTGGAAGGCCTTACCGACTTCGATGAGGCGGAGAGATTCCCCATCTATCCAACAACAGCAAAGTGCGCGCCCTTATTTGCTCTTCAAACAGCCAGGTGAGGCCCCTGTTCATGGAGGAGGATGTTAAAACATTTTTACAGCAAGCGTGGTACTCGGGAAAGCTGAACCACGGCCAAAGACACCCGTCTTTCATGCCATGCTGAGGGAGCAACTGCTGCAGATCCCCGTGCTGGCCCCTCACAGTTCGTACGCAGCTGGCAACTTGCCCATTCCAACATAGGATTGATGCATACATGCAGCACCCCAGTTGCGCTCAGTTGCGCTCCATGGTGGCAAAATTGGTCTGCCAGCTTGCGACCCACGGGGAAGCTCTAGCCTGAGAAGCGTCAGGAAAGGTCATGAATGTGTTTTCCACGGTGTTAAGCTGTTAAATTCCAGCTGCCGCCAATTTATTGCAAGGCAACTCTGGACAAGCTGCTAGAAGCGCAAATGCTGAGTCTGTGTCGTCGCCTTACAGCAGTGTTGCCGTTCTCCAAGGAACTGGCGCCCATGATCTTGTGATGAACCTGGATCTAGATTCCTCACGGCATTTCCGAGCAATCGCCCCCGGTGGCGAATTGAATCACCATAGCCCATAGCAGCAATAGCAGCCATAGCTCATGTTTCCTTCATCGGTTGTGGAGTGTTGTTGGTGGTGACCACCAAGCTGCGCGATTGCCAGAGGTGGCGTCAGGATACTGCATCTTTGCAATCTTTGCATGTGCAGGTGAGCCCCTGTTGTTGGATGACGACACTGGTGTCGCAGAGGCTGCTGCGCGAGCGGTGTGGGCACCCAGTGCTCCAGTTGCAGCCACTTCGGGATTCCGGGGACCTTCTGTTCACACAGCTTTGCTTGAGTCTCGACGGGCTTGAAAATTATCCCTGGCCAAGTGTTGACAGTCCGTGGTGGCAAGGTGCCAGAACTCTGTCGGCTGTGGAAACATGGAGTTGTTGTCGCTCTGGCGAAGAGCCGTTGACCGCGATTACGACCGGCCCGTTGCTTTGACGTCTTGTTTCGCGAGACCTTGGCAAACATGATTTCGAAAAAAACATAAAGCCAGTAGTCGCTTCGCACTTGACAATTCTCTTGCTGTGTATGAAATGCTCCCTTTGCACAAAGACCTTCGCACACTCTGTGCTTCATTCCTATCCGCCCACGCCGTGATACGCCGTGGTTGCACTGCGTGGGTGCCATTCTCACGGCGAGCCGCACGACGTCGCAGGAGCATCACCGAACAAGGGGCGCGCACCAGGTCCGTAAACAATGTGATGGACATGAGGATTCGCCTGCCATCGCACAACATGTCGCAAGGAGCTGCAGTCATTCAGCGCAGATTCGTTGATGGAGCCAGCGACTTGACAGCATATGCATGGGTGAGGAAGTCCACGCTGCGCAAAAACGACGGTGGCAATCAGAACTGTTTCCGTGACGGCGGGCGGAGCAGCAGCAGTCATTGCGCAGCTCCGGCCCAGCGTGGTTTTGTAGCTCGAGCAGGGAAGAGGCGAACGCGTGTTGGGCCCCGATCGTGACACCACCGACCTCGAGTCCGACGACACACAGGCGGCCGACTTGCGTCTGCCCTGGGCTATGTGCGCTACCGTGTTGTCTTCACTGCCCCCCCCTTCAAGGCCCCCACCAACTTTTCAATTCGTCCCTATTCATAAGCCATGGCCATGTCATGGCACTGGCTGAGACGGCCATCAAAGTACCATCAACACCAGTGATGGTGTTGGTAGGTGCACCCGCAGCTTCAAAGGGGACGATTACAACGCACAGCCACCGAGGGATTGGTTGGACCAGCACACACATTGAAGTACTGTCGGGAACAATGTCGCACAAATGCTTGGGATGTTGGTTTGTCTTCAAATGGCCATGCGACGGCGGATTTGGAGCACCATGTGCCAGCAGCAGCACGTGCGTCTTGGGCGACCAAGAAGATTGCAGCCCGCATGGCCCACGGAACATGCTGCGCCGGGCCCACAATGACGTGCTCAAAAAACCATTGGATATGTCAGTCCAAACCATGCCCTGCCGCCCGCGCGCTCCGCAGCCCCCTCCCTGCGCAGGTCTTCCCTGTTCCACTGCACGCGCGTGGGCCTTCAGTATCCACGCGCTCTCCACCTTTTTGGGGCTACCAATGTCGACGGCCCTTGACCATCATGTAGCCTCGCCTAAATTGGTTGGGCCGAAAATCGATGACAAATTCACACGAGCGCTCGTCGTCGGCGAG